ATAGATTTAATGAGACATAATTTAATCAGTTCAACTCACATATTAGTAGATCCTTAATTAATTAACATGAATTGATACGATTTGGATATAAACATTAAGTGATAACGAAATCATGTACTAGTTTCACCTAAGGATATCTCAAGTGCTTAAAAGGACATATCATGTTAGTTTTTCATCAATTTGAATTAATCATATTTCTAATAAAGTAGTTGTTGAAAAAATCACAAAGATCTAGGAAGATTTTCATAGGGAAATTACTTATGAATTCTACTATTTTCTACCAAAAAAACTAAAAAAAATGATTGTCATTTCTCTCTCAACGACCTCAAACTTGACATTAAGTCTCTCATGTAAAGAATTCATGCAAAGTGTCATGATCAAGCAAGCAAGTCAAATTACATAGAAGCATTAACTTGAAAAAAACCGTTAGAGCATTGAAAGATCCCCATCACCTTATTTGAAACCTAAAAAGTCTTCAATCCACAACCAATAAATCAACAAAAAGAATATAGCAACTTCAAATCATCAATCATCATCATCTTCATCAATATTATGAAAATACTCAAAGTTTACATCACTATAATACTTTTCACATTGAAATCATTTCATATTCATTGTGAGAAAAACTTATGATTGAAATATTGTTTAATCACTTGTCGGAACTATCATTTTAAAAATTCATTGGTCTCTTAAAGACATGAATCTATAAGGGAATTTCAAGGTGAAATTTTACTAGAGCTGAACCCTATACTCAATTGTGTATGATCAAATAATTATAATTAGTGGAACCCAAGAATAAAGTTGTTTCTGGAGAGTGGATGTTGGTAGTGTCTCAAATCACTATATAATTCATTAACCTTACAATTACTAAGATAGAGAGATTAAATAAATCTTATTGAAAAAGAAAAGGTAAAGTCAACTGAATAGATTTTATAGAAAGAATTTCTAGGACTGAATCAATTAAACCCCATCTTATGGATTTTAGTGTGGGCCAAAATTCAACATAGTGAACTTTGAATGACAATGTGCATAACTCTCATCCACAAGTCAAATACATTGAATGTCAATAATGAGACAAACCCCTTAGTGTAAATTCAAATTAGGGTAACCATTTTTCCATTAATTACTTCCCATATTTATAAATTAGTTTAAATCATTTTATTATAAATTACTTCTGTGAAAGAAAATATTCAAATAATAATTCTAGATCTTATGGATTCAAGATCTGAAGTCTCATTCCTAGGAACATGAAAATATATGAAAGGCTGTCTTGAAACTAATGGGGAAGGTTTTTCAATACCTACAAACTAGCATTGCAATATTTGGGGGATCACAAGCACCAAATGAAAAGATGAAGGTTGAGGTTTTAAAACCATTGTAAAGAAATGTGCAATTAGGCTTCTCTTCTACTACTGGCCCACAAAAATAGCTTATTTTTACCTCTTCATTGTGACATGTTTAGTAATATAAGGGGATTTCTAATCTCCAAGCATTATCCATTGAAAACTAGACATAACCCAAGTGGCAATCAAGTTAGGCCAAGCATAACATTCTTTATAAGTTGTTATTGGGTCCTAGACCTATAAAAAAGTGAGTCAAGTCCAACTAAGCTCTATGGTTAAGTAATCAAAAAACATATATGCATACATATATATATAATATGCACTATTTAGGTATGTTACCACTAGAGCTAAATGAAAATTTTATAATTAAGTAAACTCAAGTGAGAGTAGTACTAGGATGGATAACCTTAGGAAGGCCCTATGTTGCACCAACTTTGTCAAAAAGTGTCATTTGACACCCACTCTGTCAAAGTGCCATGTGGCACCAACTCTATTAAGTGCACTTGAATGTAAAATGAATAATAATAATAGAATAGGTGACCTCTTGAGAAAACCATGTAATGTACCTAAAAATATTAAAAAATAAAAATCAATGCACTATTTACATGGTTATGCAGATGGGGTGACATGAGAGAGGAATTGAGCAGTGAAGGAAGTTGGTCCAAAAATGAAAACTCTCCATGCTTGAAAATAACTACATGAGTTGGTTCCAATCTACATAAATTAAGAAACCAAAAATTGAATCATGAGTTTTAGGGTCCACTTAGTACCCAAATAACTTAACTATCAATGTATGTGCTCTCTCTCTCTCTCTCTCTCTCTCTCTCTCTCTCTCTCTCTCTCTCTCTCTCTCTCGGGCTGGGTGCATGTGCATTCCCCCAAAGAACACATTCCAAATCTTTTCTTTAAGCCTAGGCTGAGTTGAGACCATATGAGTGATATCGATCATTCATTTGTTTATTTTTTATTGGATTCCAAACTAAGAATTTTTATTGGACGGTAGACAATAAATTACTCAAAAATTCCATTATCTGTTAAAATTTAGAAATAGTAACTGTAAGATACGATCAAGGTACGATTGGGTCGTGCAAGTGCTGTGGGCCGACCTGTCTAATTGTACAGCCCAAAGTTTTATTGAGCTCTTCCTCCCATCTAGACGGCCCACCCTAGTCATCAGTCTATACTGTCAATGAATGTTTTGCAGTTGGCTCAGATCTGACGTCTTTCATATTTTCGGGTTATTGACTTCGAAAATGACCCATCTACAGGATCCGATAAGGAGCCTCTCTACGAACACAGATGACGATACTGCACAGCATTTTTCTATTACTTCAGCAAGCCACAAGCGAAGTAGGGCGCCACAGACCGCGTTGGATCCAACTCGACCAGGGTCCTAGAAGAACACGAGTTTAAGTTTAAATTTCTTTCAAAACTTATTCGTAATTTCTTAGTGAAAGGAAAATTTGGAAGTATCGCCATTTAAGTAATAAGTTCAATTAATAAATATTTAATATAATAAATCAATCCCTCTTCATCTTCACGTGTGGAGGGCTAAGATGGGCCCTGTAGACACTTTGTTGGTTAAACTCCAAAGAATGATCTCGAACATGATTTGAAATTTCCTTCAGAATTTTGATTCTGCTATTTGCTGGAGAATGTGGGTAAAACCCTTTTACTTTCGCTGGATCTGACAAGCAATTTACAGATATTGAGCCAGGCAAAAATTTAGGATACTATTTTTCGATCCATCATCCTCCATAAGATTTTTCCCATCAGCCACATCAGAAACTGATAACTTCTTTGAATGTAGACTGGTTGATAGGTCAGATAATCTGACTGATCGTACACAAAGGTTGGAACTATTCGTTGATCCTCATTCGGATCAAGATCAGCCACCTTGGGTATTTTGACTGCACGCACCTTTAAAATTAGTGCAAGAATAAGCAAGACAAACCCAATTTAAAACCGATTTAATACAAGTGATAGCAACAAATCTACGCACTTCGATGGTCTGTCACCCATTCTCTCACCGTCGTATCTCTTGAACCACAGTAATACAAGCATAATTAAAAAAATGCAAGGGTTTCTTGTCTGATCTAAAGAAAACTAGCCTTCTTCTATAATAATAATCCAGTAGTGTTGTCACAAAATTATATCTACATAATCACATCAGTGCATGGAACAAGACAGACATCACGTTCCTCAATAATCGGCCTCCCACTGTCCGATCCACAGATTCTGCCACCACCTTTTGAGGACATTCTTTCTTCTTCCATTGAACGACAAGTAAATATGTATAAAAAATATAAACATAATTACCAACAAAATTCTATCGGTCCCTAGATCTCTTGTCATCATTTCTTGATATCGGCAATGAGAGTGATAACGCATTTATCAATAATGGTGAGTCGCCTTGTCAGATCCGGAGCGTCAGGCGACCTTCACATGGTTATCAGCGGGCCCCTACTCTTCCTATACCCATAAAATTGACCAGGGCCAATTCGTCACGAGAAAGTCTCCATCCACGGACGTCGAACTCTTTCCCCACGTGTACTTTTACACCTCACGTGAGAACTTTCCCCCCCCCCCTTGGGCCCTCATTGTCGTATGACTTTGGACGCCTCCCAATTTCCAGCGTGCCAAAATACAAGGAGAGAAGCTAGAACCGCGAGATGGGCTCCACTCTTAATCGTCAATGAAGGATTAGTCAAAAATTAATCATCAATTTTTTCATGAATAAGAATCATGTATTTTACAAACGTAGATACATCAGATGATGCGTTGAGCGTGAGACCGGACCCTCTATATTTCTATCCCTCAGAGAGAGACAGAGAGAGAGAGAGAGAGGTTACGTGTGATTGTTGGACATGCACGTCACAAGATGAATAAAGAAAGAATAAATAAACGACAAAGGATCTTAGTCCCAAATAATAAAAGCTAGATAGGGAAATAGACATTACGTCACTGAATATGGTAATTTTGGACGAAGTTGAACAATGAACAGTGGGAACAGCAGGGTATGATTTATATACGAGGAATATTAAATTATTGATTGCTGGGGGGATGAAACATCTCGATTTATCAAACGGACAGCTGGCTTATTGAATGAAGTGGGAAGATAGCTGTCACAAGAGACATCATAGGCCATCAAACTCGTTAAACAAGTTGTCTCAAACACAGACAGTGGATGACAATTACCTTATTTAACACCCGGTTTAATCGGATGACTTTGTTCTGCCAACTCGACGAATTTGATCCATCAATAGAGATAACGTTAGCCATCAATTTTACGGAATCCGCCAGCTCCCCCTTTCTCCCCAATTCAGGACGACATGATATTTTCATCAGCCTTTTCATCAGTTCGTGTACCTAGAATTAGGACCGTCACGGACTGATGAAAATGCTTAAGGTGACTTTCAGATCTCTCGATGGTCCTTGTCTGCACGAGGAGACGGTCCAATGGCTCCGCCGTCAATGAGGAAGGTGAAGAGCTCACGGTGGAGCCCCACGGCACAGTGTTCCTCCCCCGGGCCCATCGTTGCCAGTCGTGACAGGCGGACCAATCGGAAACCAGTCGCTTTGGAATCGATTATCGCCGCTACGTACAACGAGCTCTGCGTGACCGACCTGATGAGCGATTAAAGTCTTTGGATGACTATGCTTGTGCTGACAAATGGACTCAGGGAAATGCATAAAATTAGAATCAAAGTTGTACCGAATGAAAGTTGGTATGCGGCCAAAGCAAAGCCGCATACACGAGAACTTCGTGCTTTTATTGTAAGTTTTTCCTCACTCGTATTCAAGATGTTAATAGACCGACAAAGGATCGCTGTTGCCGAGAACATCAGTGAACGATGGAGACACGAATAAGATAACATTTTAATTAACAGAATACATTTGCTGCTTTAAATATAATTATTTTTTGGCTATTTCTTTAGTACAAAAAGGCCGTGGAATACTATCAGAGCCTGAAGGAGTGATGCTTGCTAAGGTCATCAAACTCTGACGTGTCTACGTTTTTATAAAATTTAATCATTTTAAGCTTCTGCGTTAACTTCTAGGATATAATGTATTCAATACAGGGGCAACAAACCTAACAATACGATAGTAAGATATATTAGCCCGATTCCCCACTACAGTGGTATATGTCAGAGGCAGGCATCAATTCGTCCCTCCATTTCGGTCCATTTATTCATATATTCATAATTAGTTTAGTTCCCCGTTCTCTCTTTAAATACACTACATCCTCGTAATATCCATCCGTTGTACGTCAAAACTCACCATGTGTTCTTCAAGTGATATGCATGTGCAGATGTCGATGATGTTAGAAATAAATGAATGGACCATCTTAATCATCGATAGTATATCTATTTTGTAATGATATAAGATGTTCATATGGTTAAGCAACTGATCGAGCTCCCACGTTTTGCGTTTTTGTACTTACAGCGAGAGAATCGTTTCTGGGTATCAATGTTTACCCGAAACGGGGGAGTAGATGAAATACATTTATTACTTACATCACGAGACTACAAATAATGTTGAAGATATGTTACCAAATTGATCGTGCCCCTATGACGATAAAAACAACTACAGTTAACCCCTTTTCGTGATCGTGCTCTCTCTCCCTGATAAATATAGATATATATATATAGATATATATAGATAAATTATATCCATCCATCTATCAATACCCGCCTAGTTACATAACAATATCTACGTTAAAATAAATGTATATTTCTGCTGTCTTTTGTGACGTCTGTTTCTATATTTGACGGAATGATTTCCCTTGTCTCCTACCAAAAACTGAAACAGCATTACACTTGAACGTCGTAACCATTGTCGTCATTGTAGGCTTTGTCATCAGCATACGATTCCCAGCACATGTTATAACGAGGAAGCTGTGGAGACGGCAGGCGTGTTTTACCAGAGTGTGATCCCCGAAAGCAGAACCCGCACATCGATTCCCAGCAGCCACTCTCCCTAATCAACTCGAAAAACACGCGGCCATCTTCCTGTGAACATAGGCTCCAGCAGACCGTACACCCTTGCTTGATCAATCATCCAATCAAGCTCCCACTGTGGACGTCGGTAGCGAGCCGAATAAACTCTTAACCCAAAACCAGTTAGCTGCCAAATTGCAACTGGAGGAACAAAACGATGACCATTAATGCCCTGAAAATAACGGCTAATCTCTCAGACTAGTGGGCTTGGTAGAGAGAGCTGCCTTCTTCCCCACGAGATTATGATTGGCTGTGCAAGAGAAGCGTGATTTCCGGAGGAATCTTTGGGATTAGTATCATATTCGCACCCGGCTGAGTCCGATGATCAGCCGAGAATCAAGCGGTGGTCGGTTATGGATCCTTGACTCGTGGAAGAGAAACGAGCTGCCGAAGATCTCTCATCACTCTCCAGTCTGTTAAATAATGGCGGCTCTAACTGGGCATCTTCTTAAGGTTTTGATACCACGTGGGATAAACTCTAGGATAGGAAAAGAACCAGCTTTGGTTGGTGGAAGGGGCCAATTAATCAAAGTGCCGATCAGGCAAGTCGAGCCCATCTGTTCCTCGTGGACAAAACGATGGGACCCCTCGGGTGGGTCTCTTATTGGTTACGAGTTACTGTCATCACCAGTGATGGACGACTCGGTGTGAGCAAATCTCTGTTCATGTGGTCGGTGTTTTGCCACCTCGTAGCGAATGAGAAGATATCATGGCCTCTTAAACCTTTTCTAAAGTACGCAAGCGACCCGATTGACGTTTTCAGGATCTTAACAGGAGGCCCAAAGGAACCACCCAGAATCTCCGAAAGAAGTGCAATCAGATCACTCCCGCAAGGAGAGCCTGCAGCTAACTTTCGTCACCTCGGACTTCCCCGGCGTCTCTTGCTTCTGTGGACGGTCAATGGAGGTAGGAGGCGGGGAGGGAACAAGCTAAACGTCAGTCTCCCGCTCGTGCCGAGAAATGGCTCTGGCTCGTCGCCTCGGATCACGTAAAGAGAGTGAGGGAGAGAGAGAGAGAGAGAGATGAGGATGGTCCGAGGCTCTTAAAAGTTGCTGACGTCATTTGTTAGAACACAGACGCCCAGGTCTGCAGAAGGGAGGGATCAAAATTTCAAATAATAGACATCTGGTTTGTATAATGCACGATCCTCAGAAATTACACTACCCGCAAGCAATGACTCTCGCCCTGTTGAGGGAACAAGAGATCGGGGGAAGGTGGAAGGAACTGTTAAAGGAGGCGCGTCCAAGCCAAAGAAGGAGAATAAGAAGAAGAATAAAAGGATTGAGAGAGAGAGAGAGAGAGAGAGAGAGACGGGGAGGGGGTAGGAGAGAACCTGCAGAAAAAGACGAATAATGTCACAACTGCACCTCCTTTCGGGATGGGCCCAGGCCTTTATTTTTTCTCCGCGCTTCTATGCCATATTGGGTATTCATAAAAAGCCCACCTCTACACGGCTTTCCTCAACCACTTCACGCTCGCCGTCCCTGGCAAAGCGTCAGCTCCCTCCACGACTCTCACCCTTCCCTCCCCAACTCATACCTCCGTAGCCTCCAAGACTCCGCGAGAACCGGCCATGGAAGTAGAGCCACTCGCCGCTGACTGCGAGGCCGACTCCCACTCTACATCCTCTTCCTCCAACTGCTCGTCCTTTTCGTCCTCGTTCAACTCGTCTAGCCCCAATACCTCCCCCGTCTCCAAGGAGTCCTCGGCAGCGGAAGACTCTAATCCGCTGGCTACCGGCGGGAGCGAGAGCAGGAAGAAGTGCAGGGACGAGAAGCACCCGATTTACCGGGGTGTGCGCATGCGCAAGTGGGGGAAATGGGTGTCCGAGATTCGAGAGCCGAGGAAGAAGTCTCGGATTTGGCTCGGGACCTTCGCCACCGCTGAGATGGCGGCGCGAGCGCACGATGTGGCGGCGCTGACAATCAAGGGCCAGTCAGCCTGCCTCAATTTCCCCGAGCTGGCCGCGGTGCTCCCCCGCCCCGCCACGGTCTCCCCCAAGGACATCCAAGCCGCCGCCATCAAGGCGGCAACGGCCACGTTCGACGCCCAACGGGGACCGGCGGCGGACGAGTCCAGTCGAGAAGAGTCGCCAAGATCACGGAGTTCCTGCTTGCCGCCTCCCTCGACGCCTTCTTCGAGAGATAGCGACAGCGCTCTCTTCGACTTGCCGGATCTGTTTTTCGGCCTTGGCAGCGACGGGTTTTCTTATTCCTCTTTGTGGATTCCATCGGCAGGAGAGTTGGGAGTAGAAGACGACTACGACGGTGGATTCCGACTTGATGAACCCCTCTTGTGGTAGCGAAGTTAAGGACTTCTTCGGTATCCTAGCTTGAACATTGTTGGAGTCCACTAGAGTTGCACAGATAGCATGATGGTGAACGAATAAGCAACAGATGCCCCCTCATTCCAGCCTGCAGCGTCGTCCATAGAAAAGGACACGAAGTAGTACCTACAGTGGCCCCTCCCCACCCCCACGCCCCTTCCTGTTCATTCTCTTATTTTTAGCTTGAGCCGACGCCAACGGCCACATTTTGAAAGCTTCAGAGATATAATTCTACAAACCTCCCTCGCTGAATTTCCTCGTCGATTTGTTCATGAGCACTGTTCAAATCGGCAGCCTCCTTCCTCCTCTTACACATCTATAAACGACTAGGCCCCTCTTTCAGGGGGGGTGGTTGCTGCTCCCGGGTCACGCTTCTTTTCATGGAATTCTTTAAAGCCCGGGTCGAACATAATTGCTATATACATCGGATTCCAATGAGCCTATCGGCTAGAATAACTCCCAACCCCGTCCTCCTTGGAAGGAGACAACAAGGAGGCACCTGCTTCTCTTCTCTAAAACCCGTCAAGGGGGGGAACACGGTGGAAAAGAAAAGGAGAGACGATTACGAAGCGACTGAGGAATGAAGGTGGCCGGCCTTCCACAGACGCCGCCTTTCCATCCATCGTGTTCACGTCGCAATCATGTCCACCACGTGTTTAGCCAGAGACTCAGCCGAGATCTCGATTCCCACCTTGGGAGGATCTCGCGATTAACGACGTATTAAATGTAGTTCGCTGGAGGAATATTAACTTCACGGCCCTCCTCAGAACTCCCCATCCCAACCCCCGCCAGGAGGAACCGGGCCTCCGCACCGACCTGCCGGAACGACCATGTGCAATGTCGCACCGACCTGCCGGACCTCCGCACCGACCTACGCGCTCCCCCGGCGGTCCATGGCTCCTCTCATGTGTAGGCATCTCCCAAGGTCGCATGGCTCACCCATGCACGTACATTGGCCTTAACTCAGGGGTTGCAAGAAAAAGCAACCAGAGAGGATTGGAGAGCATTCCAAAAGCTCTGATGCCTACTCAGAACGAGGGATGATGAGAGGTCATTACTTCGAACATCAGACAGAGAACTCGACTCTTAGACTGGGGGTCGATTGGAGACGGCCTCAGGAGCCTCTACACATGGAGTGGTCCATCAGGTCTCAGAAAGGGGAGGCACAGACAAGGTCGTCCGGCTATTAACGTCACACCCATGACCAGGTGTTAGTATGGCCTGAGGATCTCGGGGATGAGAGAGAATTGCAATGCTCTTTCGAGGTGGAGGGACTATTATAAGTCCTCATTTACTCCATTTCTTATCCTGAATCACCAGTTTACTGGCGGAGGACCGTCTAGCTGGATTCAATGGTTCTTCCTGTGGGGTCAGGTTCATTTATAAGCTCTCTCTCGGTCTTCTGAGGACGAGAACCTGTTTTGATTGAACTCTGATGGGTTGGTTGGCCCTGATCGGCATTTCATAAATTTAATGCCGACGCGAGAGAAGCTTCCGAGCGAAGAAGAGGGATCGAGGGAGAAGGTTAATGGCGATGAATCGGGCAATGGTTCGTAGATCTCGCCTGGGTTGAACCCGATGAACCCGATGATGAACCCAGAAAAGTAGGCGGGGACGATGGGTCAGCACAAGAAACGCATAAAGTGTCCATTTCTTGTAAGGTTTTAGGTAGGAAGTGTTTCAAAAAAATAGGCAAAACCCTTTCCTTCCACGTTGGAAAGAAGCTCATCATATCCCTCTTTTGCCCACTCTAATGAAACGTGTAGTGGCCCTTCTCTCTTTCTCCTCTCACTCCATATCTCTACCCAAAACACGAAAGAGATAAAAGAGATGCTGCTGTCTCACGAATAAGAGAGGCTCGAGACCTGAGCTCTAGATTCTGGAGCACGCATCAGAGTGATAGGCAGAAGCTAGGCGTCGACACGGAGTTTACGTCCCAAAGCTTTGCTATTGCCCGGCTCGGAATGTCATAACTAATGGAGACAACCACAAGGGCATTGCTGGCATGCTGGTGGTTTAAGCCAGCTGCCCACTTGTCCTTGAACAGCCGATGACCATCTCCGCAAAACACCCCCATTTCTCTCTCTCTCTCTCTCTCTCTCTCTCTCTCTCACACACACACACACACACACTCACTCACTCATTCACTCTCTCAGTGAAATCGAAGGTCAGAAAGCAGAAAGAAACAATATCAGACAAAATTGGTTGGGTAAGCCCTAACCCTCGAATTCTCATCCGTCCCCTCCTCGGCTCCCCCGCGGGTCCTCCGAGATTCTCCAGAAGATGGTCCCTTTACGCGGACCTCTCAGGTTGAGTTCTCATGTGGACTACAACATTTCTATCCATCCCGAGTGGTCCCTCGCCCGTGACGACCGACGGATCGCCATTGCACCGCCAGTGCCCACCGGCTTTCCAGCTGGGCTCCCCTACGGCTACGGGTTCTTTTCCCACAATAATCCCAATATTTTAAATAATAACGCTTCGTTCCAAGAACACAACGCCAAGAAATAGTGACCCACGAAAAAAAATGGGTAGCATCATCGTTCTTATGCTCGTGACGATAACTTGTGTGGTTTCTATTTTAGGTGCCCATTTTGTTCAAATCATGAGCATGAAAAAAGATTATGCGGGTGAAATAGCTTAATCCTATGTTGGAGACAAACTCCTAAAAAAACGCTCGAGAGGGTCATGAAATAATTTCTAAATCTGTCAGTATAATTATTAAACATCCGTTTTCATGTGGATGGCATTAGCTTGCTAAATTTCGATTATAATGAAGTCAACTCAAATTTATCATGGGGACCATTGATGGCACTTATGACAGACTTTCTTGGTAGATGTCTACTCCGGTCAATGTGGACATCTCAACCCATGAAGCTCAAGTTATGACAAGTCTATCCCTTAATGATCTGGTCCTCACATGGTGAGTGTGGACCTAAAATTTCCATAAGTAATCTAACATTACTTCACCATTTTTTTTATTTGGATGGGTTGACATTTTTCTTAACTCACTAATATGAGCATCATATGGGAGTTGGCGTTACATAAACAACACTCCCATGGCAATGAATCAATTCTTCAGGACAAGCTGTATCGGCAGATTGTCCCTCTTTAGGTCTGACTAAATTATTACTTTAAGACAAAAGTTTCTGACTGGTGTAATCATAAATATGCTTATCAAAAATAGGATATTTATGCCGTAATAGATGAATCAATCAGAACTTTAATAAGATACAAGAGCCCCAATTTCAAATTGAGATTAGATACCGCGTTTTGGTCAATTGGTGGAAGGAACCGATTGGATTTATTTAATACGGATGTGACAACAAATACTTTGAAAAAACGTGGACTTCTGTCACATTTTCTTAAAAGATCCCTTTCTAAAACTTGCCATGTGCATCGAGGTGACACTCAGGATGGCGGGCGGGATGGGGGAAGGATCTTGCACCTACGGCGGCGGTTGACAGTCGTCGCCGGTAAGTATGAACTGCCCCCGTTAATCTATATTTACTTCTTCCTCCCGCCGCCGTACCTAGAGCGACACTAGAGACACTAGAGGCGATCCTCCAGATCCTCACCACGAGTGACATTACAGAGGTCCCCAAAGGGAGGCTCGGGCAAAGATGATCATTTTTAAATGGATATCAGAATTCTTATTTCGACAGCATTACGGATAGCCGTTCTCGGTGAGAGTCAGGATCGACCAATTCCATGGGCCAAGTTGGTCGGTGGGTGGCTGACCCATCAGATGAAAGGGTCTTTTCCCGGGGGGGAAGTGCCCATCTTAGCTGCGAGACTTGGTCAAAGTAAAACCCTCCGGCAGTCGGACGGCTCGAGCCCAATTATAGCGACGGGCCGAGCTCCCCTCCAGGTGGGTCCGATAATTTGTCTTATTCTCCATGATAATAAATATAATCAAACATATCGTCATACGTTGGATGACCCTCGGAGACACCTGCAAGAAACCAATAAATTCCCCAAAGAGAAGGGGTCAGTTTGGTGCAGAATTGCCATGTGATATGGGTCTAAGGATCTCTCTGGTGGGGTTTGGAGGAACGTCGGCCACACCGCGGCCTTCGGCGGACCGGCGGGAATCGATATCACCCTCTCCTGGGGATCGGTCTCGACTGGTCTACCAAGTCAGGACGGATAGGAATGACTCAATCAGCCAGCCAATAAGGGCCGCCGCATGTCACGTAGCGGGAAACTTGTAGGGTCAATCCCTCCTCGTCTCGCATTGTCCGTGAGTTCGGGCGGGGCAGAAAGGGAGAATGGTACAGGGGTGAACAGTAAATTTACGTCAGCCCGAGCTCAGAAGCAGTCTATTTTCATACGTCATCTGTCGCTTCACGGCCAATAAGTAGTCGGAGCAAAGAAAATATCAGAACCGACTGATGGAATCCCCCCTCATAACTTCAGGATGTCCAGGGGAAAACCATGACCCAACTACATTGATTGCCGTAGGCCTCCACTTATCGACGTACAGAGAGAGAGAGAGAGGTCTGCGCCAAAGGGCTCCCTATTTCCTATAGACAATGAATGTTCACCAAGCGAAGCATCACAGTAGCTTCACTAGTTGGGGCACGACCGTGGTCCTTAAATCTCAGTAGGACCGACAAGATAGCTCCTACTTTAGACGGCGTTGTTAGACGCTATAGAGCTCTCCTCGGCCCTCCCAGACCACTTTGACCCGTTCCTCGTTTTCCACGTTTGTACGCGTCTCTTCCTACTACAGGCATGCCATCTAAGATCCCTACATATTTTGCCTCATCGGGGATATCACCCTCCCAGGCGTCGTATCTCTCATGAAGGGCGAAGGAGCTACAGTCCTCTGGGGGGTCGAGAGCGTTATGTCTCTCAAGGACCTACGGGTGTCGTTTAGACACGGCGTTGTAGAGACGGAAGGGTCGCAGTCGGTGCATCTCGCTATCCGGGGCCGCTAGACGTCCACGTGGGTCACCCGTTACCGTTGCTTTCCACCGTTCCGTTCCAGTCGAACAGTGAAAGCGAGGCAGAAAACAGTTGATGATATGATATTTTCGCTTGTCAGCATCCGTCTGCACACTATGTTAAATATTTTCCCACGTGCTCCTCTCTCTCCACGACAACCGTCTGGTGGATGATAATGATGCCTGTCAAACATTGGAGATAGCTTGTATCCTTGTCCTCTTCATTCCCAGGGTTCTCTTCTCCACATTTACCAAAAATACGAGTCACATATTCGTGTGGTCCTTGAACACGACGATTAAACCGAGATTATCGGCAATATAGACAAATGCTTGATTAGGAAATCGATGCACCAACACCCTCTACTGATGGAGCCTCCTTCTGGAAGCTTCCTCATTTCCCTTGATAGTGCTAAATTTAGCACATTCGACTCGGAAATAAATGGAGCATTGGGGTGCCGAGTGAAACAACTGTCCTCTCTTCCTCTGACCTCAAGAATCTGCTAATGGTTGACCAATCCGTGGGAAAGCTTCACGATTTCAGAGTCCAGTCCAGTATGGATTTCAGAACTGTCACAATCGTTAGAGTGAATTACGCCCATCTACGTTGATCACCCACTTCTCCTTGACGATTTCGTCCACGTCGGCCTGCCGGCCGGCGTGTAATACGCGCGCTGACTCCATGCCTGAAACTCGCGTGTAGTTACATTTTTCGAGGAAAGGAACTGCGACCGCCGACGATCTTGACATCCGGTGTACGGGGTATCATTATTCCTCATAAATTTCGCCTGTCGAAGTCAATGGGCCAGATAAATCATGGAGGAAATTTTCCGAGCTGGAATCATAAAGGAGGGATATTAATTAGGTGTATTTATATATATATATATATATGTATGTATGGTGTGTGTGTATGTGTGTGTGTGTCTGAAAGAGAGAGAGAGAGAGAAGAGACATGGTACTCAGCCCAACCCAGCAGGTCCAGGGGGACCGCACTCCATGGGCCGGCCTGAGCCAAATCAATAGATTTACTCACAAGAAGTGATTTTGAGGCAAAGGTTTGTGGACGAGCTTCAGAATTTTCCATATATCGATAACAAGGAAAGTACTTATATATTTTATTTACTTGTAACATTTATTCTAAATATGGAATTTGACAACTGTGAAAGTCTCATGGAACATTATTATATAGATATATGTGTAGTGGAATAAAAATATTTATTACTGTAAAGTCTTTGTACAAACTTGTTAAGAGAGAGAGATAGAGAGACAGATAGAGGTAGAAAAAGAGACAATTTGATGGATAAAAAAATTATAGCTGCAGATAAGGACAGAGGAGAAATCGTCCAAATGACAAGTGAGTGGAGAATGGAGAGTGTAATTCTCAATCACTAATACTTGACGTATATGTATTATTTACCAAAAATGAAAATGGTATAACATCATTGTAGAAATTTATGAAACTCAGGCCACACTCTTTATTACTTGCTTTCTTATTGGGCATCATCGAAGATCATATGCCATAACTGGTGGATAATATGTGCACGTTCAAAAATAATCACATGTGAGAAATAACTAATTAGGAATTTGGGTGTTTTCAAGCTAAGTCATATTTAGTCACAGATTTCTAATTAATTTATTATATTTTTAAATATTTAATGTCATCTTAGTAAAATATATGCAGTCACATGGGACTCAAACATGTAAGAGATTTGATGTCAGCCAAAGGTGAAGGTGGTGAGCACCATTTGTGCAAACAAATGACTAGCATTATTGGCTCCCCACTATGTTACAACTATTGGTGATGCTGATAGCTTGCAGCAACAATCCACATCCTTAGTTGATACCTACTTTATGTGAAATCCTTAGTGCTAGCAAGTGAAGTTATGTAAGAATGAGTTGTGAATCAACATACAAGGGCATGCATTGATATAAACTCGTAAAGGTGCATGGCATAGGTGAGATACGCTGGTTGAGTTATATGGCCATTGTGGTACATCTCACCATAATTAGTAAGTTAATGTGATTGGTTGATACTAACAGCTATGAAGAAGGTTCACACAACATGAGTAGCATGCATATAACCTAATTGATGTACAAATGGTATGTACATGTGCATGATTAAGAAAAATGGATGTGCAATCAATGGCATGAACAGGTGACCAACGTACATGGAGATAGCTATCATCCTTAAGCAGATTATTTGGGGGTATATGTGTCATGATATGTATGACTAGGAAGTCAAAAGAGCTATAAATGCATCACCAATTAGGAGAGGTGCATAAATATGTCATGCCACACATGGCAATAATGATCTTCCCTTCTCACTTTCATTCACATAAATAAATGTCAAAACTTGTCACATAAGTAATTGATGTAGAGTGTTTGGTTAGATTTACTTCACGTTGGATGGACTGCTAAGACAAGCATAAGGTAAAAATAATATTTACACCTAGTAGACGTTGTGATATTTAGTGTCGTATGAAAGGGTTATAATAAGGTAATGGAGTAGAGTGTTCCATGTGAATACATTTATCATAAAAATGAAAGTATAGTCCAAAAGACCTCTATATTGTAACAGGCAACTCATGAGCTAGTGGATCATGCAAATGGACCACAAGGCGACATAAAAGCAAAAGTGGATGAGCTTGCATGAAAGTGCCCATGAAAGTGATTGCTTGAAACAGATCCTGGATCAACATGCCATCAATAAGTGATGTGATTTAGGCTAAGGTGTGTGAGTCTAACAAATTTGGGCCCACAAATAATGAGGAATAGATCAACAATTTTATATTTAATCTATGAGTTATAAAATGAGGCCCAAATGTGGTGGCATATATGCACATGGAGAACAAGGTGTAACCAATGATTAAAACATAAGAAGTATTTGTGAATAAGGTAATAAATAAAATTTACTTATTAATAAAATAGGAATTTCACCACATGATTTTGTATAAGATGACACAAAGAAAGTTGTTTTACTTTCTCTATGTATTAAAAACATGTCCAATAATACATGTTGTTTAATTTTAAGCATGGTTCAATAATTAGGTAGAGTAAAAGTTGTAATGCCACTATGCAAAGTCATTAAATTATCCTTTGTATGATGATTCACTTGTATACAACACAATGATATTAACCAAACCAATAGTGATTCAAAAAACTAATAAGAAACAAAAATAAAATAACATGTAAACTATGATAAAAATCATATAAATGACTATAATAGTCCTTGTGGCTAAAAAGAGTCAAAGTGTGGTTGTTATATGTGTTGGTTCACTTCACATATATCATTACCTATGTTAAGTCATTTACAATTTTCTTTTATTGATTACCTAGTATGCTAGAATGTATAGTAAAAGGGGGATGAATTGGTTTCTAAATGTGTTTTAGCATTTTTAGATAATTTTAATTAATTCTTAACATTTCTAATTTTAGGGGTGGACACATGTTTTATGGGCCTACACATTCTTTAGTGCGTCAGCATAATGAAGGAAGAAAATCTGTGTGCGACCATGGACATAGGAGGTCTTCAAGGTACCTAAATCTGAGTGTGTTTTATTGTGGATGATTGCCATGATAACTTACCATACACTCAACCTTTCATGACATTCCTTGAAAAAATATGCAAGTGACACCAAGTGGTCAACATGCGACAAACCATGTTAGTAATCATGCATGGATATCATAGTGACACCATAGAAACATTAATAGACTAATATAAGGAAAACAATGGTAACTCCTTATAAATGATAATGTCACATCTATTTCATCATGAAGTTACCAACATGAACAATAGAGAACACAATGTGAGAGAAATATGTAAACCTTTGTCAACTTAAGGATTTCACAAATGTCTACCTTGATACTCATCATTTAGAAGAAGGTACAAATGGGGTTTGAAGGAAGGATATGACAACCATAGAACTAGTGGGCACTATCCCTTGTGAGAAATTATGAGGCAGAATGAAAAGGTGAACATGGACATACTCTCATGTATTAGTGTGACACAAAAGGGTACATGGTGATATACACCATAGTATGGATCAAAAGCACAAGCCACACAAACAAGATGTCTATGCAAAGTAGCACAAATCAAGCATGATGAATGAGGTTCTCAATACTACTACCTACCACCAATAAGTGCATGCATAAATGACACGAGAGTGAACAAGCAATTCAAAAAACACATGCACTATGCAATCAACATAGAATCATATGACTCACAAATCATGGTCCCTAAGAGAATCATAATGGCAACATTGGCTTTCTGAAAATGTCACTTATTGGTGCAAAATAAAAAATGCGACGATGATAATTTACATAAAAGATATTAACGCGTGAATGTGTGAGATTCATGGATCCAAGTACATCAAAGTGGGGTGCAATTACACCGAAATGGATTCATGAGAAAAGCTCTACAATGTTAAAGTCTTAAATAATGCGGCCATGACACAGAACGGGAAGTTAATCTCCCCTTCTCTCCCATACTTATTACGAGAGAATATCAAAACCCCTTGCCATAGCGATCAGGATGGGAGAGTGTTCATCACGAGTGCCAGAAATGCGCCTTCAGTGAATTTGGGAAATCGGGTCACACGTGGCGCGGGGCCATGCTTCGTCTCTTGAGTGACCGACGTCCTCGCGAGCAAAGAGCCCGCCCCAAACGAAGAGCGCCACGCGCATTTAAACTTCTCGAAGAAGGGCGCTCGTTTCGTTGCCCTAGTCAAAATCCCCCCGCGCCACCAACGCAGGAGCCATTCCACCCCCCATCATCCGAACGCCGATGATCCCCCACTCGTACGCCATGCACTCCCTGGACCGCGCACAGGACCTCGCGGCGGGTATCCTCTCGGCCTCGTCGGCTTCCCAGATCGTCGCCGCCTGCTCCGCCGTTGAGGAGTTCCTCCGCGGGCATCCGGGGAACCAGGCGCGCCCCTTCTTCTCCATTGCCTTTCCTGCGCTCATCTGCCGGCTCTTCGGCTTCGACGGCTCTTCCCCTTGCTCGTCCCGTTCGCCGTCGCCTTCGAGTGCGTGGGTCGACCAGGCCGACCCCGATGTCGCGGCGCGGGTTTTCGGCCTGCTCTCACCTACAGGGATCCTTTTCTCCTCGATATCCGCGGTCGACAGGCAGTGTCCTGTTAGGTTTGTGTTCCCCGTTGAGCGGTTGCCGGAGTGGATGAGGTTCATGCTCCAGAGCGAGAAGCATTGCTCCACACTGCCGAACCTCTGCCCCTTGTTCAGGTCTAGGGTTAAGGAGGACTCTGTCCAGGGGTCATTTCAGATCCAGCTGAATGTTTTTGAGTATTTCATGTTTTGGTTCGCTTACTATCCTGTCTGCAGAGGTAAGTCGGAGAATTCTGACTCGCTGGCGGTCAGAAAGTGCCGGAGGTTTAAGTTGGAGAACTGGACGGGGTCTTGGCCATCTTTGTCTAGCAGCAGTTGCCTCTCCCGACAGAAGAAAGGATGCGGTCTGTACATGAAACTTCTCTACGCATACCTACGGGTTTTTGTTCCAAAACATGGTCTGAGTACCTGCCAGCCTTATCGTAGTTCCCTTTTCCACTGCTCCTCAATCTATGATGACTCTGTGCTTCTTCAAGCGGAGTTTGTCGTTTACACGTTGGTTCACTTCTGGATGGTGGATAATGACTTTTCTCCGTTGCCTCTGAGTTTGTGCTCTTCGTTTAGTGTGTCTTTCCCTTTCCAGACATTGTTGGCTGAGACTCCTCCAACATCTAGCTTGGGCCAGGTACTGCAATTACTGGTAACGTACTTGAATAGTTCCTTGGGCGATCCTTTGTTTGGTGGTCATCAGGTGGAACATGATGTAGGCTCTGGGTTGAATATTTCGCAATCAGGTGATATGGGGAAAACAAAGACTTTGGTGGTTTCTTCGGATAACCTTGTTGACTCTTGGAATTCCGTGATTCAGAGACCGCTCTACAGATTCATACTCAGATCACTTATGTTCTGTCCTATTGAAACCACTATGCAGAATGCTAGCCAGGTGTTCTCGTTGTGGACAAGCTACATGGAACCATGGGAGATAACTTCAGATGTTTTTTTGGAGTTTGAAATGCCAGAAGGTGAAAAGAGGGATAAGTTGGGTAAGGATAAAGCTCAATTTCAGGATCACTATGATGTGAGCGGGAGATTGAGATCAGAGAAAGGGTACTCCCTTGCATGGCAAGGTTATGTGACGTCCAATTATCTGTTTTATAACTCACTGTTCGTGCATTTCCTGGGGTTTGCACACAAGTTTCTCCATACCAATGTAGAGAAAATAGTTCTCATGGTATTAAAGGTACGTCCTGCTTCGTGTTTTATTTTTTTATTTGTTTTAAAACACTGCCTTTTAATGTTATAGCATCCATTATTTATTTATTTACTTGTTTCATTTCCTAACTATGTCAGTAAACTAGTACATCAACGATTCATCCGTTTGCCTTTTTCCTATGGATCATATTACAGAGTGGTTTTAGCAACTCGCAGCTCACCCAATGTGCTATGTATATCTGGATTTTTTGATAACAGACTGCCTTCCTCAGTAATTCAGACATTTTCTCTTCCTTTTATCTAGATTGTCGTAGAGAAAAATCATTCAAATAGGACATTGTTCTGTTCATTTTCTCAAAGTAGAGCACGTAAATAATTTTGTTAATAATCATCTGATGATTGAAGCATCTTACCTTTCTACTTTTGTAGTAATATCCTCCAATCTCCTTTTTTGGTTACCATCAGTTAGATATTAAATCAGTTAACTTTATATATTAAGGATCTTCAGGTTCTGCTTCAGACGTTAGAGGATAGTTGTTCTGGAATTGAAATATGATGCTCTTTGTATTTTTTCCAAGTTGAAACCTTCTTCTGCATTTTATTAGTGATAAGAGCGTGCATTTTGTGTTAGATCCTAATTTATGTCAAATGGTTGAGCAATGTAGCTTTCTGGAGAAGCATCCTCTCTTTATAAGCTTATTCAGTTTTTTTTTGGGAACAACCAATTCTAAAGTCGAGCTATTCTGTTGAAAGCTGAACCAAATGAACTTCCTGTTGGGAGAAGTGCATTCTACGCCTCTTGAATGAGGAGAACGTCAAGTCTTTAGGCAAAATGCTATTACTTGGACACGCTTGGGGGCCTTTTCAAAGAATGATGGTCCAATGTAGAAAGTTGGAAAATATTCATTGCCTGGAGCGATGAATTGTCTCCTCTTTCACCACACGCATGGAGGCGTGCTGCACCAGTCCTCACGCAGAATATAACTTATTCTTGCTGTTTCGTGGGTCATTTTGAGAGAATGAAATAGGAGGCTTGAATAAACGTATGCAGATCACTGGTTGAAGTTTTGATTATATTGGCATTCTCAATGCAATGCATAAAAAGGTGGGTAGAATTCATTACCTAAGATGGGATGGGCTTGGGGCCTATTTCTTGTGCTGTCTGATTTAGCATATTCCTAAATATTTGGACGGCATTGTTTTGTTGGTTTTGTGTTGAGATCGGGTGAGCTGTACTTTTTTAGTGAAAGAGGTTCATCAGCTACTATAATTCGTGTGTATTAAGTGCAGGAAAAACACCAACAACAGAAGAAAAAATGTCTATATGCAACGAATTGAATCTGTGTGAATTCTAGTGTTGATTCCTATTAACCCAAAATCTGTGAATTTAGCTATCATTAATTTGGAATGACAATGAAGCATGTCTGAGGTGGAGCTTTGGAAAACAAGATCTTCATTAAAACTCTGTTCACGCCCATTGGATCAATCTATATTGGTTTCCCCAGATGTTCAATGAAACTTCTCTGAGAAGTTGGAAGTTGTCTGGGCCATAGGATTTATTTGCATTTATGTGAAAAACTGATCTTTTCACCTTTTCCTTGGTCCAAGATATAATTAGTTTGTCAGTATATTATTAGGTGATGATGGGCGTCTTTTCTTTGAATAATCCTATAGACCATGGGAAAATCATATCTACATGCAGGTTTATCCTCTAAGGCATCTCTACATTTAATAGGTTCATTCCTTAGCTTCCTGGGTTCAACAGAAGGAATTGTGATTTTGTTTTGCTCCCGTTTACTATTATTTTTTTGGCTCCCTGTATCATTCCATTTGTATTCCAAATAATGGTTACCTAAGTTCAACCTCATCCACGTAGATGTCACATTTTTCTAATGTTAAAATGATTCATTTTTCATCCTTTATGGAAATGTGATCCCTTTGCTTAGATCTTTTCTCTTTTTTCGCCTAGACCTCGTCCACAGTTTTTCGACTACTCCACAATACCTCTTTTTAACACCCTACGTTATGGAAATTTTTCTTACCTTCCACAGTAATCCCTTTTGAGGTTTTCTGTCGGACGTTCGTTTATTAATCCGTTGAATACTTCACATGAGATTTCCTGTTCCAGCTTAGTGGACAAAATAACCCATTTACTCGAACTATTGATCAACAGTGATCGCATCTTGTCTTTTGTTTCAGTCATCGTTTAAAGCCTGAAAGCCATGGGAGTAGATCTTAGTGGAATTGAAAGGTACTTTTTGGGTAGCTGTTGAGCACTTCTAAGGTGTATCATTCCATTTGTATTCTAAAGTTTGTCTTTAAAAAAATGAGGGACATCCTGAAACATCTAGTTGAATTATTAGTTTGCATTTTAAGTTTAGGTATATAATATGCCAGGTATTTCAACAACGCTCTAAAAATAACTCAGGCTATGTCGTATGGGCTCCTTAGGATATTAGGATATAAAACTGAGGAAGATACTTTATCCTTTGTGTATATTAAATTAGCCGAACCTCTGTTCAAGGGCCATCGGCAATTTGAACAAGAAAATAGTAACCTATGTTGATTGGTATTTCTTAGCAGATGGATATTAGGATGGAGTGGGACTGGGAAGCCGCTGAAAATTAAATAAATATGTTCAATACATAGGATTGTGGAACAGGCGTCCACAAGACACGAGGGAATGTGAAAAAGCAAGAACAAGTACATATCTGTGCTGATCGGCAACAAAATAAAATAAAACAGAAGTAACATAAGGTTTGGATCAATTGCAAAATAGTTTCCAATCTGTAGAAACGCTCATCTCAGTTCGAAAAGTATGTTGTATATCCTCCCCAAGTTTTAAATTCGGTGCTAAACTTGTCAATGTACTTGAAGTCTAACTTTAAAGTCATTACCTGACTTATTCTGTACAGTGATTCGTAGGTCCCATCAAACAGTGGAGATTCGTTAATTTTGGTTGTTGTTTGTGTACTTGTATTTATAGGGCAAATAGTTATTCTGCGTCCTTTGTTAGTTCTCGTTTATGAAATAGTTGTGGCCGTTTGTTTGAAATTTATGTGATAAGAGAATTCAGTCAACGCTTGTTACTTTTTTGTCTGTTGTTTATTGTCTACTTGTCATTTTGAGGAGCTACTGCTATGATCCCTTTTATGAAGGGAGATTCATCTATTATACTCTAAATAACATAAAATAAATGGTAGCTTGGGGAGCTACCGTCGGAAATGAATCCCCAGTTGAACACTCAGAGGTGTTTGGAACACGGGGTAGTTCTCGGCTAAAGTCCAATACCTCTTAGGGTTTGTCAACAATAGGGGATTATCCCCTTGAAACAGAGACGTGAGATGTCAAGTTCATGGGCATATGGTTAAAACTGAAGGAGCGGATTCTCTTGCTTTTACATGGTTGCAAAGTGCGAATTACCGAGAAATTTTTGGTTTTCAACAATTTCTATATCAGATCCTAATAGCTCTCGCTCTTTTTCACAGGTTTTGAATGTCATGACATCATCCAAAGAGTTGATGAGCCTTCTGAAAAAGGTTGATGCTGCGTATCATTTTAAACCCACTGGTGCTTCTCCAGCTCTTCCTGATAGTGGGCTGTTAAAACTCATTCCCGCCATCCGGCAACAGTTGCAGGTATTTTATTGGATTCTCGCCTGTAAATTGTTATTTTACATGGAGTGAGAGCAACTGAGCTAGTGAATAGACGAGAATGCGCATGTTCCTTTGGCAGGTTAATAGGTATATGAATTTATTTTCAGGGTTTCACTCAGTAGGACGACATGGTGTAGGCGATTGTTGGCTTTGCTTTGTTAGCACATGTAGAACCATCCATCTCCATGATCTCCTATGGACCCAGTCAAAAAATGAAATCCTCTGAGTCTTATTGCTGCAATATAAACTGATCATGCGGCTTTGCACTGTTGGATTCTGAAAGGTTGGTGTTTGGCAAGTTTGTGATATATCGAATTCTGAATTCCATATTGGCCCGGCTATTTGGCTTAACTGATTATAAAGAAAATTTATTTTTTCTTCCCGGAAGATGATTAGTGATGGTATAGAATATGAGCCTTATTTTGGGATTAGAGGTGATGATAAGAAATTTTCATAGAAAGTATTTATTTACCATCCTCTAAGAGCTCAATAGAATCCCCTCTCTTTTGTGCATGCAAGATTATTGAGCTAATCGATGATTAAGATTTAAATTTAGGACCTGAACCTTCAGATTTACAAGGCAATGCCATTCGCTTCACATTCTTTTCCCATCATCTCTGTCTTCTGATTCATAGGCTTTTTTCTTTCATATCATCAGGACTGGGAGAACGGCTTATGCGAGAGTGATGTGGATGGGTCTTTTCTTCATGAGAACTGGAACCGGGATCTGAGACTTTTCAGTGATGACGAAGATGGGGCCCATTGGTTGCTTCAGGTAATTTTATTTTATTTTTAACCTGCCGCCAGTGGAGTACCCTAAAAGGAATGATTTTTATTTCTATTTCTGCTCCTCTTTTACCTCATCAGAGTAGCCCTTCCATGGGCTTGGCTGTAGAAACCTCCAAGCCCCGTGAGTAGCCTAGCCAGCTGCAAGCAAACCTGGTGCAACTTTCTCCCATGATCAGGCCCCTCTTTCATGCCAACCACCCTCTATCATTTTCTCACTGTTTTCATTTTTGCTCCCTAACATAAAGCATGATGGCTGCATTTCTACCGTGTCAAGTTCCTTGACATCCTCGACTGATCATCACAGTTTACTAGAAGAGTCAACTGGGTGCTCTGCTTTTCTTTCTCGTTATACTCGTCGCTATGCTTGGTCTATTGCCGATTTAACTCCCCCACAATCCCTTTCTTTATGTGCAATAAAGGCATAAAATTAATGGCATTGAGATCACACCATGCAGTTGTTTATTCTGCGCGCGGAATCTGAGATTCAATCGCTTCCGAGAGACAACCTGGCGCAGAGCCTTCATAACCTGGACGCTGTACGGACCAAAATGGGCATTCTATTCGATGGTCCCATAAGGAGGGCCCCCCAATCGACGACGGCCAAGTTGACCTCTTCTCGAGCGAGCCATGCTGAAGGCTTCTCTCCCAAGTATCCTGGCATCGGTAAATCCAGGTGGGCCGAAGTCAAATACAGAGGCGACTGGATGAGGAGGCCGATCTCAGACAGCGAAGTCGCGTGGCTGGCGGTGCTCTTAGTCAACCTCTCCGCCTGGTTGAATTCAGCCCTCGGCCTTGACCAGGCCTCCGGCCATGTGCCCGCCGTGCCGACCTACATCGACGTGCCGCCTCACGATCTCGGCGCTGCCAGCGGCCCAGTGGAAGCCATGCGGATGCTGCTAGCTTTCTTGGGGTCTTGGCTGGGCTCGCTGGGCTTCTCACTGGTCCATCACCTGAGAAAGCGTGGCACGAGGGTCAACCTCCGGCCGCTCGCCTCCAAGAAGCTCGTGCTAATGTTGCTCGTCTTCGCCCTCGCGGCGATGCTCAGAAGGACGCTCAGCAAGCCCTGACTGCCTCCCTCTCCCGCCGGTGCGGAGCTGGTTTTGTAGCGTTTGGTACAGAGAGAGCGAGAAGATCGCTCGCCCTTTGGGGTGTGTACAGCTGCGGAGCGTATACGAACAGAACCTCAGAAGAAGCAAGGTCTCTTTCTTGTTCCTCGCCCCTCCCCTAATGCGTCAGGTTGACCGTCTATAGTATTGGACGAATCCCTGGATGGGATTGACTGGTTGAGCTGGCGGATAAGCCTACGTAGCTCTGCATCCGGACATTGCGGATCCAGACGGGCCACGTTCGCCAGAGAGCTGGAGCGTCAAGGGCTGAGCAACGCGGCACTTGACAGTCTCGCCAGCTTCACTGGACGAAAAAGCTTGAAAATTGGGAGATTTTTGTTGTTATTACAAATGGATCGTAGAGTTCGCAGTTTTTTCCCTGGTGTCATATCGGTCTAGCCTCTCTTGATCTCATCTGGGTTTTGGCCCGAACGAAAGAAGGTGACGGCGATAGCAATGGCGACGGTTCCCCGCCGCTTCACCTCTTGCATCAACCTGTCCCTCTGTCTCCTCGTCCTCCTGCATGCGGCCGCCGGCAAACCGGTAAGTAAACACCCACTTGACTGGTTCGTCCTTTCCACCTCTCTTGTTGGGAGAAATATCGCAGAGAATACGACTTACGTAGGAATCCACGGACGCAGCAGCAGAATGGCGAGTGCGTCTACACCGTGTACGTGCGGACGGGATCTGTGATCAAGGGCGGCACCGACTCCAAGATCGGGTTCACCCTCGGCGACGCCACCGGCCGCGCGGTCGTCGTGGAGGACCTTGAAGCCTGGGGCGGCCTCATGGGCCCCGGCCACGACTACTACGAGCGCGGCAACCTGGACGTCTTCAGCGGCCGCGGGCCCTGCGGCCTCTCGGCGCCGCTGTGCCGCCTCAACCTCACCTCCGACGGATCGGGCCCTCACCACGGCTGGTACTGCGAGTACGTGGAGGTGACCGTGGCGGGGCCGCATGTCCCCTGCACACAGACCCTCTTCTACGTCCGCCAGTGGCTCGCCATTGACGCCCCTCCCTACCAGCTAAACGCCCTCGTCGACGGCTGCGAGCAGGCGATGCGCCTCGAGCCCGTTCAGCCCTTGGTCGCCGGCGGCCGACCGGATCCGGCCGCTGTCTCCTTCGCGTGATCCCACCTGCTGCTCACTGACCCCGGGCTGTGAGAAGAAGCGTAAACAGCGGTCCATAAGAGCTTTTGTTTCGTTCCCGTCTTTATTCCTTCCCGGACTGGTCCTTTTTCCGCCGCCGCGTGCTTTTCCCCTGGTCAATGTGTTGGTCGATTGATATTAGCGGTGATCCCCCTGAGGCCCGCGAGTTCACCGGAACGACGACCAATTGAGTGATCTTGGTCAGACTCCGATGGATTTCAGATTTGAGCTGTAATGAGTGTTATTTCCTGGTTACGATCACTGTTTGCCGGGTAACCTTCCTTCGTACACAAACTCTCGACAGATTGACTTGAACGTCGGAAACAAGGGCGTAGGCGATATGAACTAGATTAATGAAGCGCCATTCTTCAAGTTAAACTCGTGTCAAGGACAAGAACGCCTACCTAATAGGGTGGGCGCATCAAAAAACCCTTTAGATATGGTTACTAAGATTCCCCGCCTCGCTCTTGAGAAGGGCGCCGATAGTAGTACCTGTGAGAAAAGAAGAGAATTATGAGGGAACCACAGAAGAATAATCAACAAGAAAGAGTGAAGGAGAGAAGACATATACACGAAAATTTTGACACCATAAATGGATGAATATTTTCGCAGAAGGCGTTCCACTGTGTACCACTCCGAACGCTGGGCTCCGCCCTGATAACTGATTCGCGGCATATGAATTGATGCTACATAAAGAAACCCCAAAAAACATATAGCAATTAGGACCTTGTAAAAACCTTGAGGGAAAGCACCCCAAGTCATCAGATTCAGATTGCCGGCAGCAGTGAGAACGAAATCTATGCTTCCATGAGAAATACACCTTCTAATTAACCGGTAATCAGACCAGGTAGGGGGTGACGACCAAAAGGGAGGAAACCATTCAAAAGTGTTCACAAGCTCCCATAGCGAACAAGTCCTATCGGCCCATCAAAGGCACCACAGAAGTGTTCTACGTGATCACAAGTATGCAACTTCTGAAGAGAGAAATCGCCATGAGAAGATTTTCGTTTTGAGTAATAATTGCTTGCACATAACCAGTTGCCACAATTTAACTTTAGGACTCCACTGACAATGGATGCTATCTCCAATCTATAAAAAGAACTTTCTTCGGATTTGCCTGGTTGGGTAATACATCCTAGCACTTTGAGTAAACATATCAGAAAACCATCCAATGGCACGTCTTCGGACAGGACTAGGCATAAAACTAGGGTTCAACTGGGAGAATGAACGTTCTTCCTGATGATCTTGCATACAGTTATAGGATGGTATTCATCAATGGCTTGTTAAAACACACAATGATTTGACAGTGCTTTTAAAAATATCTGTAAACGACCACAGTATTTGACGTATCAGAAGATTATACAGACAGAAAGGCCGTCGACCTTAGAATCCATCGTGAGGGTAAAAATACTCCAAGGATTGTTAAACAATAATTTTAAAAAATGTTGCTTGCCCAGAAGCCCCCGTTTTCAGTGCACAGTGGGATCGATTGGAACCCATCTGGATACCTTAAAAACCAATGGATTGCTTCGAGCAGACTCTTCATTTTACGAACACGCATGTTCCTTTTACTCAAAGAGGACCACTACAGTTGCAGCATGAAAGTCTAATCAGGTGTATTGAAGTGCCTGCAGAGAAGGGCATCGGACCTGCCCACTCTCAAATTTTGAGGCTCCTAGAAACGGTGAGTTACATATGCAATACCATATTCAGTCAAAACAACAAAGAAGCCGATTCATGCCATCAATTCTCACAGGGAGCTAGTCTTTTACATTTCTTATGAGACTTCAGTGTTAAAATAGAAAATAAGAAGTGATTTTAATCGTTTATCCTAGTTACGGGGTCAAGTATTAATTCTTCTCCTCGGTATATTTTTTCTTTTGAACTTCTACACTCCCTTGTTTTTCTCAGAAATATCACAGTCATGTAATTCCATCAACCTAATAGTCTTCCTCCAAAAACCATATCAATATCGTCCCTCCTTTATGCTATTCAGTACCTGAAAGTTCATTCTATCAAAATCGCACCAATCAGAACGAATAGCCCCCAACCTTTTATGAAACTGAAGGTTGTCGCCATTCAGAACAGAACAACTCTTTGAAGTGCCGTAGTATAACAAAAATATCAGTGACCCAAAAGCAGAGTCACTTCTAAACAAGAGGGGATTTAAACTTGGAACAATTTAGCATATAGATTCCATTTTAAAACATTAATAAATCAAAAAACAGATTCTGACGTCCTACAAAAAGTTACGGTCATCAACGTGAAGGTGGGTTAGACATTGTATGACAGTGGATTCAATTCAAATTTTGTACATTGCAGTTCTATTGTAAAAACGGTTTATGTAAAGACAGCTATTGAAATTAAATGAATAAATCCAACAGCTCCAACCAGAAAAAAAAATTCAATGGATGCAAATATACCAGAGTGTTCAGAAGCTGAAAAGCATGCCTTTGATAAACAGCATTCGAGATCAGTCATAGAGATACTGCTTCGGGGAACTTTACGCCTAGGATTATATGACTGTACAACAGCTAGAGCCACGAACTGAGGAATGAAGGCCACATTTTCATCACGAGAGGATTCTGGTGTCAAAAAGATAATTTTAAAAGATCGAAGCAATATGAGATGAAGCTATGAGCAGTGTATTGGAAGTAAGACTAAACTGGAACAAAGTAATAGGACAAGGATGATTTATTTTTGCATTATTGGAGCATGAAATACCAGCAGTATCATGTTTAGAACAGAGACGCGAACTAATAAATGAAAACAATGCGTAATGAAAAAATGAAACAACATCCTGTTAATGAAATGTGCGACAAAGCAAAGTTCAGATCGAGGAATCATACTCTGGAGTTCATTTCTAAAAGGTCATCTAATGATATTTCTTGAGAGGAAAAAAACGCACATTGAGCTAATCAGTCGTAAGGGAAACCAATTTATGGAAGGTTATATTTCTCGCAATTACAAGGAAACGGAACTCCCATATTTCATCATAGGAAAAAATTTCCCGGGTTATTGAAATGTATAGGAAATAAGACCTTAGACGGAGAAGCAGAAGCAACAAACCATTCAACTTTACAAGATGGAGGTCGCCCAGATGAAGATCCCCAAATTCGAATGCCCGATGGTATGCATCCGGAATGCTATTGGAAAGAGCTGACAATGCATCAAACATTCCTCCATGTCCCCAACGTCCAGAGTTATCAACAGTGCTACAAGGGGAACAATTAAACGAAGGAGATTTTGAATACGAATCCATGCGCATAAAAGACATCAGGAAACAAGCTGTTCATCAATAAACTAATTTTAGAATATCTGATACCTGCACTTTGGGGGGTGGGGGTTGGGGGGCGGGGGGGGGGCGTAGGCATTGATAATCCAGCCACTAAATTTTCGAACTACCAGAAAACCCAACATACACAATGAAATCCAACACCAAAATATCTTAGAACGTTTTCCATAATTTCCTCGAAATTTGAATGAAAGAAGAGAGGACAGAAGTTTGGAGTTCATTAATTCAAAAAGAACATCTAGAAGCACATTTCTCTTGTTAAAAATATCGACATTTGAGGAATTTAATAGAGGTTAGTACTGAGATTGAGAGTAAAATAGGACCTGAAAATTACTGTAGACTCTGATTGACAAATTTGTGAAGGCTTCGTACAGTCTCCATACACAAACTGAACAGACCCCAAATCTGACATGACATCGGATTCCATGGGGGAAGCTGGATCTTTCACAGACAAGGACTGATAACCACGAGCTTCCCATTTAGCCAACTTTTTCTGATGGGCCTTCTTCACTTCATCATCATGCTTTAGACTCTTGCTTTTAAAATCATTTATCTTGTTTGCCACAAGAAGGGAGACGATATTTGACTGGGAAGCCTCCTTGAACTTCTCAACCCAGGATAAATATGAGGACTCATCCAGTCCAGGGTCAATGATGATGGATGTAGGAGGCTTCTCTATATTAAACAAAGCAGCTGGATTGATTTCAAACCTCTGAACATCTTTTTCTGACACTTCATGATTACGTAACTCAACAACCTTATCAGTCATTGCATTTAATTGTGCCATATCAACACCACAAGAACTTTCATTCCCCAAATCTGTAAGATCAAAAATATGCAACCCAAATATGAGTGAATGTACATCAGGAGCATCCGACCCTTTTTCACTTTTATCTTGATGAATACCACTCTCTCCACCGACTACTTCGTAGCTGAGCTGTAATTTTCTCTCAGCTCTCCTCATAATTACCTATAACACTAACACAAAATCTTTAGAAAAGCTCAAAAACAAAAACCTGACTGGTTTTCAAATTTATATGATCCTTGCGCCTGAGAATGGAAATCCATTTTAGTCTCACCTCCTCTATTGACCGTTCTGTAACTAGATTTATAGCCAAAACATGGTTTGTTTGACCAATGCGGTGTGCACGCTGTAAAGCCTGTTTGTCCACCTGGGGATTCCAGTCTTGCTCATAAAAGATTACCTGAGAACATTATTAGTCCTATATATGAGTACAATCAATCAAGACGAAAGTGACAATGATACTGATATCTGTGGATAATTAATCCATACCAGAGACGTATCCAAAGATGCATTCCAATGAATGTTCAGGGATATATGCAGGATCTTGGAGTAACACGGTGGCATATAGGGGGCATGATATTATATTTTATAATGTCAATGCCATACAGAGCGCCTAAAGTATTAAAATGTAAAAAATAAAACAAATAGATATGGTTTCTAGCCCATGTTATTGACATCTATAAAGCCACGAAACGCATGGCTTATGAGTGCTACATCAAAATTCTTTGCTTGGTCCATGTCAACAAAATCAAACGACATTTGTGAGACATTTTGAAAAGAGAAAAAAACACTTTTTTTCACATGGACGAATTCAGAGATAGTAGCTTACCTATTTCTTGATAAGTCATTTGATCAACATTTCTGACATAGAAATTACTGCGTCACTTCATAGTCTCTTGCGTTCAGACCCTCCAACTAAGGACTATGAGATGACATTTTAACCATTCCGAGGGACTATGACTACAATTGACATACCAAAACATACCAGTTACAGTAATCATCAAGGCTAACATTACATTAAATATTTTCATAAAACCTAATAACCCGTAACCATCTGTATTCATCACAATAGTTACACATATCATGGTCGTCACATAAAACTTTTATCTTGAGGTTTTAATGATTGACATTGACAGGTCTTTTTTTCTGTGGAAGATAATCGCAGTTGTCAGAGTTTATGCACCTATCTCAGATCAGGTTTTATTTTAAAGTATCTGCAGTATTTGCAGGCATATCTTGGGTCAGGTCTATGACTTACCGTGTCCGCAGCTACAAGATTCAGACCAGTCCCCCCTGCTCTGGTGGAGATCAGGAAAACAAAAGCACCATTCTGCACTACCTCTTTTTCTTCAGTAACTTTAGATGATTGAACACTGAAACTTCTTATTGCAGCAAAACGTTCCTCGGCTCGCACAGATCCATCAAGCCGTTCATAGGTGTACCTCCTCAGTTCCAGAAAATCCTACATAAGAACGACACAGAATTCAGTACAACAGTATGATGCACGTATTGTACTCTGTCCAATCCACTTGAGTTCCAAAGGACGATCACCAACCTGAATAACATCCAGAGTATGAGTCATCTGAGCAAAGAGCAGAACACGATGCCCTGAATGATAGAGTTTCTGAAGTAGCTTATCTAAAACAACAAGTTTACCACTGGCCTGACAAACAAGATGATTGAGGTAACTATTGTATGTGCTTCGCTATCACAATCAATAAAAGTTTCAAGAATACTCCCATACTGGTTATTAACAGAAATAAACCCACGATGATCCATATTTTTGTTTTTGAACTGGATGCGCCAATAACTCTACCACGTTATCTCTGAGTCTGTGGCCGTTTTTAGTTCAAATGGATGCCATTTAAACTATTCACATGACATAGTTCAAAAATTGTCGTGTGGGTGAAGCGGCCTGTTCATAGTTTTATGATCATTACAGAAACAAATTTGTGATTATAAAGACGGGATTACACGTGGACAATTGATTTTGAGTGGGACCGCATGATAACTCTAACAAAAAGAATTCCAAAAGATTGTAGCACTTAAAAGACTAAAGCCTCACCTCTTAGTATCAAGTACCATAAGACTCTAGCACTTAAAACGAGAGATTATGTCTTCTGGTATTCCCAAAAAAAGTCAAGGCCCTTTGCAAAAAAAAATCCTATCACCCCTCCCTTTCAAGCCAAAATAAGAGGATAATTTTACCTGAACCAGATGCTCGCCTTCTTCGTATGGTTCTGGCTCAATGCCATTGAAAAGATAAGGATGGCTACATGCTTTCCGAAGCTGTATCACCTGATCAACAGCAAGAAAGAATATCAATAGATTTTACTTTTGCTTCCCAAGGGGGATTGTAAAGGCACAACATGCTCAACAAGCAACCAGCAACATTGAGAATACTTAATAAATGGCAGTACTGATTTTTTTTTGGGTACAATGATCCCCTATGAAATAAAATATTTGGATAGATTCAAAATCATGGAACAGAACGCGGTATCAACTTTCAGAAAATTACCAATGGAAATCTACTCTATTATCTCCCATCATTATCTCCTTGGAATATCCAAATGGAAACGAAACATGTACATAATTTCCGCTGCATTCTAGGTTAAAACTAGGTTTCATAAATCCTAAGAAAAAGAAATATTAACAACCTCGCAGTGAAACAGAGGTACTGAGACAACCTCCATGGACACAAGTGATAAGGACTCCATCGAATCTTTGTACAGGACATGACTACGCCAAGTTTAAAAGGCTTCAGATTGTCAAGTGCTTTGCTGTGGCAAGTCACAATTAGGCGTAGACTATATAATTGACATTAACAACCGTTCTTTATCTTACAAGATTATTCTCTGCAATGATTTTTTCATTCCATTCCCCACTCATCGGTTTTTCCTTTTTCTTCTCTAGTAGTGCCTTTCATTTTTATCCTTCTTCACCTTTTTTTCTTTTTTCAATTTCATTTTTTAATTTTTTAATATTCCTCTCTTATTTTCTCTTCTATAACATTTTACTTTTGCAAAATAGTACGTGTAAGGTTGCACCATCACAAAATTGGTTGGAAGTGAGGTTTACACGCGACTAGAAACCATGTCAAATATCTGGAGTATTGAATCAACAGACAACAGAGCTTTCAATCATCAGGATAAGTCTGATTCCCCTGGCTTCATTGATGACAACGAACACAGACTGGAAACAAAGATCAAAAGTTCAAAATATGTAAACTGCAAAGAAAGAAACGGAGACCAATTTCTTATATATTTACTTCCAAAATTCTTCTTTGGAAACTGTACCAAGATTAATTTACTCCAAGGCAAAGAAAGGAAACAACAACAGTATAATCGTTATGAATTTAAACACAAAACTTCTCTTGATGAAATGCATGTGTGGACAGAAAATATCATATCTCTAATGCATTAATTTAATCAAACTCAATTTCATTATGCAAATATTTCTCAAAAATGGCACCAACAGCCCCGTTGAAACTTTGCAAAGGATGACCAATTTAGATCCTAGGGATATTTGCTGGTTGTCAAAGGCTCATTTAGGCTGGTAGGGTAAATTAGGAAACATACGGATGAAAAGTAAAAAAAAAAATGTATTACAATATTCTGCAAGGATTGATGATTAGAAGCACCCAATGCCAACGCAAGAAGATTTGGGAGTTCCCTCCTGAGTATCGAGGCATAGACTTTCTTTTGCAGAGGTACCAATGGAACCATCCTACCAATAAAAAAATTATGGGAATTATCACGATAACATTACCATTCTAATGCAATACGAAAAGTTAACTTAGATAACATTAAGGATCATAATATTACACAGTGACTTCTGTCAGAGGAGGTAATGTCAGTGTTCCGCTATGGATGAGCATTGACTTTGTTCTCCGAAGCATAAATGCTCTAAGTATGTACTTTAAAATCTTCACCTGCCCCTTGGCATTCAACACTGTTCACAGGACAAAATACCATTAATTTAACATCAAAAATTCAATATCCATGTTTTAGTACTACACAGTAAAATCAGCATTTTAAGAATGTATGATAATTTCAAAACAGAGATAGTAAATAAAGCTTCCCGAAAAACATATTCCGAGAATAGTAGTGGCTAGGTTTGCCAAGAGGCTACTTTTTGAGGAAATTCCGACGTCCTTGAATTTGGAAACAAATTGTTCCAATGTCCCGAAGATTGAAGGCATACAAAAGTGCATCAAAGCCCATAGTTCAGAGAGATTATTCTGTATAGGTGTCCCCGTCATTAATAAACGCCTGGGCATCATGTAATGGTTCTGAAGAATATTATAAAGAACCTAACAGAAGCAAGTGACAAAAGCGTCAGTTAGCCAACTAAATCGAACATTTTCAAAGAAGACAAAAAAAAAATCTAAAAGTCAATGCCAATAAAGTAATAGACCTACAAAATCTGGTTCCTATTCTTTCGATTCATAATAAGAATTCATTTAATTCTAGCCTCTTCTCAGTTATTCTTTTCGTGGGGAATAACAAAAATAGAGCACCTGTCTTGCAACAGACTGTAAGCCACATAATAGCATATGAGATATACTACGGCATAAGATCCTGGACAGAAAGGAAAGGTGATTGCAAAGTGATGTCATGGGGTTATCTTGACAAGATGATTTTTTAGACGAGGATGGAAAAAGGAACCACAGATAATCACTTAAGACGTGCATAGTCATTTTACATCATTGTAACAGAAGTCGCGACTAATATAGACATTAAAATTACTAAATAGGAAAAACAAATTAGAAGAACTAGTTCCATCTGTGAACTGTACTATTATTCTTATATGTCGTTCCACAATTAAGAGTGTGCGGTTCTTATCCTAGAAGTTTTCAAGCCTAAAATCAGATTCACTGTCATAGGGGAAAAAATATGCATACACTTGAGGGATTTTTCAGCCGTTGAGCTTCATCAATTACAGTGAACTGCCAGGGAACCTGGGAAAGAAAACCTTGATCCAATATTGCCATGTCATAAGTCGTCAAAAGTACATCGAAAGGCAATTCTGCTCCTCTCTTCAAAAACAAAAAAAAACGTTGGCAAGTAACATTTTAATCAGAAGAGAGAAACAGACAACATAGCAGAGAATTAGAAATGGAGTCAAACTGTTCCAATGGGCCATTGGTAAAATTAGAAAGAAATAGCCAGTGGAGAACGTTAAAGACGATAGATCAACTTCACATTGAGATAAATATCACTAAAAAGACCAAATAGGAGTCACGCCATATTGGTAAAATAGAGACTGACTTTTGATGTTGAGCATTGCTGTACATGCTCATATAAAATGCGTCTCAGACCACAGCGGAATGCTTTATCACCAACATATCTGAGAATCTTTAAGCTTGGGCAAAACTTAGAAAATTCATGCATCCAGCCATCCGTTACACTTAAAGGGCATAATATTACTGCATACATTAGTAGAGACAAGAGAAGTTCATATATTGATCTAACGTGAAAGTGTTATTTGCAGATCATCAGAAGACAACACTGAAGTAAACTGATGTAAATCACTCACAGAAAGGTCCAGGCGATAATAGATGAATCTTGATGTAATTCAAGAAAGAGATAGCTTGCAACGTCTTCCCTAATCCCATCTACATCAAATTCAGTCACCTCAATAAAATTTATACTTACGAATATGGGAAGGGAAAGTGGGAAACAAAATGAAGAAGATACGTTAGAAGTGTGACTGGTGTTAATCTGTACTGTCTAGAAAAAAAGTAGAAGCTTCAATCTTAGTACTGAATCGGCCACTCAAATACATAACATACACCGAAAATAATTGAGAAATTTTTTCACATCCGAATACACGAAATATACATCAACTTCCCCACAAGACGAAAACGGGACAGTAGACCCACCTCGTCCCCTGCGCGCACAGAAAACCCTCCAATGAACGTCAAGAGCTAGCTGAGCACAAACTCAAGGGAGTCATATAACAAAACCTACCGAGAACGACGTTCACTCCAGTTTCGTATCGCCGCACGAGCCAAGAAACGCCTTCCACTTGGTGAGGTTTCAGGGCCGCAGTTACCCCAAAGTCGTTGGGATCCAGAAGCATGTGACCACGCTCGCCGCGATCGTCCGAGAGAACGAACTCCGCCGCTGCAACGAGCCGCTGCTCGTACTCCATCTCCACCCGGGAAGAAACTCGGAGATAAACGGAAACGAGGGAGGGAATTCAGAAGCGTTCACTCCCGGGCAGTTGCCCATCCCACAGAGAGGAGTGTTGGGACCAAACGCGGCACGTGCGACCGGCTTCCTATGCACGGGCTGGAGGTCACGTCGTCGATAACATTAAAGCATGTTATTATAAATGTAACTTAATATGCTAACTTTAATATAATGCTGTAATATATATTTTTTACAACAATGTTATTATCCTCATAATTATTTAAGAATTAAATTTGCGTTAAAAAAATCTGTCCTCATTTTTTATTAGGGTTTCAATGGACTGACTTGCCAAAATGAAGATACAATTAAGGGTAATATTAAAAATAATCAATATTTAGACGATTAAATACGAATATATCTATTTTTTAATTTTTGGAGGGCCTCTACTATTATATTTCGGCCAGTTCCCATTTCGGGTATGACTAAGTTTCCGTATAGTGCAACTCTCTCTCTCTCTCTCTCTCTCTCTCTCTCTCTAAAATATGTTACATGGCTAGCTTTGGCCGTAACTTACAGAGATTAGGAACTCGACGAGCATTCGAGCTAAACGGCCGACAGACAATGGCTGCCTGTGCAGGTCAGATCATCAGCCGACCATCCTGGGCTCCTCAGGAAGAACCCCTCCCCCTGGAAGGTCGGTCGATCATTCAGGGGGCGGAGGAGGAAGGAGGAGAGTGACGAAAGGTTCTGCACCGGGAAGGTGGGAAGAGAGGAGGAGACAGTTGCTTCCTCCTCAGAGTTCAACCCTTGAAAGTGGGATTACCGCAATGGGTGTGTCGACATGATGATCTAGGCCCGGCTTTAACTAGCACCGTCGAGATCACCGGCGGGGTCTGCTCCTCCCTTTCCCCGCCCCCGCTGGCTCCACCGTCTGGCAAAAGGGGAGACAATGCCCACCGGCCGACCGGGCTCCTCACTCTCGACGGCTGACGGGACGCAGAGACCATCGCGGGGGTAGATCCGGCCGGAGAGGGAGGAGGCTCCGTTCTCGCGAAGGCGAGGGAAGGACGCCATCGGAGCTAACCAGCGGCGGCTGAGCACACACTGTGCCGAGGTCTTGTCGGGCTTAAGTGGCCGTAGAATGGCTGAGAATTAGGCAGACGCCGACGACAAGCTCCCACCATTCATGGCCTCCGGCAGCCTCTCCACCCTAAGATGCTCCTACCTCCCCCCTCCCTCTCTCTCTGTCTCTGTCTCTCTATCACTATCTGTGTGCCCGTGGGACGTGAAGTCCAATCAGCCGTGGAAGAAGGAAGGATCGGACATTAAAGGTCGCCCTCGAGATGCGATCCGATTCTGATCTGGTCGTCCCTCGTGCCTAGCCTCCCTAGCATGAAATATGCTCGTTGGGATGGGGATAGAGATACGGAGGAGGTCAACGACGGGCGGGGAGATGGTCAGTAGACCAGGTGGGGACCACGCAGTAGGATAATCCCCGTGGGTCGGAGTGGGCCCAGGAGGGAATCTAGATGGTTCATTCGTGATAATGGAGACCCACGAGGGTGGGTTCTGGTCTTGAGTGCTACAAAGCCAAGGGTGAGATTCCTGGTTCTTCAGTTGCCGGACTGGAGAGTGGAAGGAGAGGAGAAAAATGATTCATGCAGCTCCATGCCGCTTCCCCTCCGGGAAAGCGTGCCCGCCGCCGCCGGCGAGAAGAAACACTGCGTGCGTCTATTCCTCGGCCTCCGTCACTCCACGGGCTGCGCCACCTACCGCGCCCGTTATACCCACCGCCCGCGTACTGCGCGTCCCCGCCAGCGCCCCGACGACGCCGGCGCCGACGACGGCGCCGCCTGTGTCTCCCCCCGACGGTGCCGGTGCTGTCGACTCTGCGGCCACTGCTTTCTGGGACTACCAAGGTCTCTTCGTCTCCCAGAGGAGGGAGACCTCGTCCCCGGTTTCACTACGGGCCGTCGACGGTGCGGTTCCGGCGGACTTTCCGGCCGGTACCTACTACCTGGCCGGCCCTGGCCTTTTTGCCGACGACCACGGCTCCACCGTTCATCCTCTGGATGGCCATGGTTACCTCCGGTCATTCAACTTCGAATCTAGCGGTCGCGGTGTGAAGTACTCGGCTCGGTATGTGGAGACTGGCGCACAGAGGGAGGAGAGGGATGACGAGACGGGGACCTGGAAGTTCACTCACCGTGGGCCGTTCTCTGTGCTCAAGGCGGGGAAAAAGCTGGGTAACATGAAGGTGATGAAGAACGTGGCCAACACCAGCGTACTAGTCTGGGGGGGGAGGCTGCTCTGCTTGTGGGAAGGCGGAGAGCCCTACGAACTCGACAGAAAGACCCTCGACACGGTTGGCCTCTTCGACGTGGTCGACAAGGGGATGAAGACGGAGAGCAGAAACGGAGAGGAAATGGCGGCCGACTGGCTCCGTCGGCTGGGGGAGCTAGGGCTGGACGTCGCCGCCGCTCTCCTGAAGCCATTGCTACACGGTGAGTACGAAAAACCTAACAGAAAACACTTTTCGTCGATTCTCGACCCACTCCCCAATGGTTCTGATAGAATCACGGCCGTGGGTGGCGCAGGGGTCTTCAAGATGCCGGAGAAGCGGCTGCTGTCGCACTACAGGGTCGACGCCCGCCGGAACAGGCTGCTCATGCTGGCGTGCAACGCCGAGGACATGCTCCTGCCGCGCTCCAACTTCACCTTCTACGGTTAGCCGACGACCTCCCTACCGACGCCGCTGCCCATTTCTGTCAACGCCCAATCTTCCGACCGTTCAGCAACCTGAGCAACTTCGTTGACTTCTCTTCCGACCGTGCAGAGTTCGACTCCAACTTCAGGCTGCTGCAGAAGAAGGACTTCACCATACCGGATCACCTGATGGTCCACGACTGGGCTTTCACCGAGGGCCACTACGTCCTCGTCGGCAACCGCATTAAGCTGGACGTCTCAGGTAAGCGCCGCCGACGTTGCAGTGCAGAGTAGCTTTGTAGTGATCTCGTAGTTCACCTCTAACTGTTAAGGGCTTCCCACGATCAGGATCTCTGGTGGCTGCAGTTTCTGGCCACTCTCCCATGATATCGGCGCTGTCGGTAAACCCCAGCCGGCCGACGTCTCCGATATACCTGCTCCCGCGGTTTTCCGACGGCGAGGACGGCAGCCGCCGTGACTGGGCGGTGCCCATCGAGGCTCCTGGTCAGCTCTGGGTGCTGCACATCGGGAACGCCTTCGAGCGGAGAGAGGAGTCTGGAGAGGTGGAAATCCAGCTTCAGGCTTCTGCGTGCTCCTACCAGTGGTTCAATTTCCAGAAGATGTTCGGTAAACCCACGAAAGCTAAAGTAGAGACGATCTTTTTCTTCATTCAGCGGCTGCGCGAGGGTGGATAGCTGAATCGTGTCCTTCTTGTAGGGTATAACTGGCAAAGCGGCGAGCTTGACCCTTCGTTCATGAACCCGAAGAAGGGCCGGCAGTCGTTGCTACCTCACCTGGTCAAGGTACCTCTCTTCTCGGTCGACTTGCACCGTTCATGATCACATGGGGAGGATCTTCACCCGATCTCATCCTGGCCGTGTCCCCATTCAGATGTCGATCCGGGTGGACGGAGACGGAAACTGCCGGCAATGCTCTGTCCGCCAGGTGTCGGACAGGTGGACCAGGCCGGCGGACTTCCCGGCGATCAACCCGGCTTTCTCCGGCCGCGATAACGAGCACGTCTACGTGGGGACAACATCGGGGGCTCGCCGGTTCTTGCCGCATTTCCCCTTCGATAGCGTGGGGAAGATAAACTGCTCCGATGGCTCCGTCGCCACATGGTCGGCCGGAAGGCGGCGGTTTCTCGGAGAGCCCATATTTGTCCCTCGCAAAGGCTCCGCCGGCGGCGAAGACGACGGCTACATCTTAGTGGTGGAGGTGAGAAAACCAACCACACCCCAGTCCGTGGATATCCCACAGGATCGACCATTCATCTGCTAACCTTTCCAAATCCGGGGACTCTCCCTCCTGCAGTACGCGGTTTGGATGAGTAGATGCTACCTGGTGATACTGGACGCGAGGAACGTCGGAAGAACTGAGGCCGTCGTGGCGAGGATCGAAGTCCCGAAGGACCTCAACTTCCCCCTCGGATTCCATGGATTCTGGGAAGGAAGAACTGAAGACTCGCCAAGCCAGGAGTGTCAACATCATCCGCCGTCGTCTTCCTCCATCAGTCTCCCCCTGGTCGCGTCTCGGAATTACTAAAACTGTAAATAGGCAGGATACCTCACGTACAGCCTCTGCGTCTTCGGACAGATACCGCGCCGGAGTCCAGCTTGTATGATACAGCCGCCATTTGTACCATACGTGAACATGGCCGGATTATATGTTTCAGATACGATATTAAATATAAACACAAACGGTGCGTAAATTCACAGAGAAATCGGAAAATAATCGTCCGGACAAGGCAGGCTGGGGTCAACGGGGAAGGTTAAAAACAGCGAGATTACAGCAACATGGCATTCGAGTCATGGGTTCCCACTGTAAGGCACCAGTGTGGCGCGAGGGAGAGAGAAAGGGAAACAGGAGCGATGTACAAGAAAGGTCGACGAGTGATTACAGCAGCCTAATCGGGCATTAAGCTCTGAGGGCGCGAGATAATATAACGACTATAAAGACGACGACCGAGAGCATGAAGGAAGATCTCAGCGCATCCTCGAAAAGATCCACCTTCTTGACCTTTTCCGGGACGGAGAAGAGACCGCCAATGATCTTGGCGATCTTCTCGACCAACTCCATCATCCTTCCCGTGGTACCCTGGAAGATCCTGAGAATCTTCGCCGGAAGATTCTGCTCATCGGAGGGGGACCCAGCATGCTCAGCTGTATGAAACAAGAACTCTCAGAAAAAAAGGGAAAAAGAGAGAGATTATCTTGCTCATCTCGTCCAGAATTAACAAACGGCTAATATATTACAGAAGATCGGATGGGATTATGATTCGAGATCGATTAAATTGACGCGCTTGAGATAAATTATCGGAATCATGGAGATAAAATGTAGTGGTGGAAAGACCTGCACGGAAGGACTCCCTCAATTCTTGCACGGCCTCGTTTTTCATGACTGCCTCCCACACGGCTTTGTCTGATGACAATGAGACAACTGTCCTCTGCGTTCATTAAAGTCATAGCAGCTGTATTAAAACGAATGAGAAGCATATATCAAGTGAAATCATGCTTCCACGAATGAAGAAAGAGAGGTCAGATAAAGGGCTTGAATGGGGTCTTGCATGCTTCATCCATCATGAAGTTCAGATCATGAATCATTAATTTTTTTATCATGATTTCGGTCCCAGATCCAATAATTTTCTATCTATTTATCAATTCCCTTCGACCCTATGCAAAAATAACTAAAAGAATAAAAATAACCTTGATAGAAGGATTCGTCTGCAATAATCTGAAAGCATCAACGACTTTCTCATGCACTCGGGAGTCCACACTGGTGCGACTGCAGAGGTGAAGAGTGGGCTCGATCCAATCTGATTCAGACTCAGAAGAAGAAACTAGGTGCACTGAATCCATTATCAGAGCTTTGTCTTTTACACTCTCAGCCACCGTAGAGGAAAACCCATCTTCGACGTCCTGTGGGGAAGCAAATGTGGCGAATGTCCTACATTTGGGGCACCAGAACCATATTAATTAGGAAACAATAAGATTCAGCGTGAATAAAGCCAGAAAGGAAAAGGGCAGAAGGGAAGATGTATGGTTGGGAGACCCACTTGGGCAAAGTCCCTAAATTGTTTCCTTTCGGCCTTGAATCATCTACCCAGTGTTAAAGCCTGATACTTGATGACGAGGTATGACAATGAGAATGCTAGGGAAAAATGAGGAATAAGGTCTGCATAAATTATTCTGTCTCAGCAGAATTATCACTCACACTTAATTAAGGGATATAGTAGAAAAAATTAAATCGTTAAAAATGTCCACCAAATATCGTATGGGGAAGATCAATGCTATGCGATGAGCTAAATCACTGAGATTAGTAAATAACACTGGTCAATAACGACACAAATGACACAAGGAAGCAAGGAGAATCAACGAAACCCGAAATGAATAACAATTCGTTCTTACATTGTCAAAATGTATGACTATATTTCTGTTTTTTTATGGTTCCTCGAGGGCTGCCAACGACAATAACTACATAATTATTAAATGTGATCTTCCCTGCGGATATTGTGAGGTTGTGGCCTTAGTCCCTGCTCGATCAACAGCCAGATGCTCAAACAGAGAAGCCTCAAAGGCACAGGACGGTAAGATGCGAGGAACAGGGGATCAACGACGAGACCTTGTCTTCAAACAAACTACGATTTCTTAGCAGTGATATTCGAAAAGTTTAGAAAGGAATACGATCACAAAGTTCATGAAAATCACAACACGAAACAGAAATATACAAGAAATCTGAGGAGACGCCCTTGATCCACAAGCTCGAGTAACAATTTAAAGTGGATTCTTGTGAACGAGGGCTTGGGAACTTACTGCTGGATGGTGGAGACGGCATCGACCACCTCCTCCCTAGACGGCGGCGGTCCGAAGACGAAACGCCCAGGGAAGATTTGGTCGCCCGCCCCGGCAATATCTTCCTCTCCGATGGGCTCCCATCCGTCCCCTTCGCAGAAGTAAGAGTGCGACTGCTCCCAGCTGGTCGTCTCGGTCAGAGAAGCGGTGAATGAAGAGGAACTCGAGGATGAGGAAGACGAGACCGAGACGACGCTAATCGGCTTCGCGTGCCTCGCGGGGCCGCACGCAGCGCCAGCGGCAGTTGAGACTGCCTCCTGCACCCCGCCCATCCCCGCCCCGACAGTCCTGCCCACAAGACGGATCATTTTCCCCCCTCCGATTCGCGCCGGCCCCTTCATGATCCCCTCTCCTGCTCACTCTAGATCACCACAGTCGCCGCCAATGCTGCTCAGGTCTACCGTATTTCAACTTCGTTCGGCAACCGCCTCCGCTTCTTCGTCTCGAAGAACCCCCTCTCCAGCCCCACTCCTCCTGAGGACGATGACGATGGGTCCGTAACCTGTGGCTCCCGTTATCTGTTTCGGGGGTTTTCGCCAAAATGCCCCCTTTGTCTCTGAAATATCTCCATGATGTGGTAAAAATTAAAAAGTCACTGCGAGGTGACCGTCTTCTTCCTCTTCATCCAAGCCATCCACCGTCCTCCAAGTAGCTGCTTTGAATCCACCGTCCTCCGCTTGTGTTTAAGTCCTGGGAGACACCAAAATGCCTTCAATGGCTGGCGGAGGTCGACTTCAATAGTTTCTCACTCGTCTCCCGGTGTTCTTCCAGGAGCCCGAGAGTACCGTCCTCTGCGTGGGCTCGGCTTCCACCTCGGGAACGACCATTCGAAAGGCGGCGCTGCCGCCGCCTGGGAACTGCACCATATACTTCCCCCGGAAACGCATCACCTGACCGGGCCGAAGTCTGAGCGAGTCGCTTCGCTCATTTTCCTTGCCTCGAATTCTCTCAGGGGTTCGATAGATCCCGAATCAGGTGCTGGGTAAATTCATTCATCGAGAACCATCAAACCATCTCTATTAATTAATTTAATCGGCTGAAAATTAGTTATTAATAGGTAGAATGTATAGATATGGCTGATTTAATTCGACGATTTTACGCATCAGATTGATGTCGCAGGGAGCTAAGTTTCACCGGCATTCCTTTAATGCTCCAATCGGCGCAACCGGGGGGACCGGAATCTTCACATCAAGAAATTTCCCGAACTCCGGTCTGAATCTATTTTCTGGGCTGTTCTAATAATAAAGGTGGCATCCATCCACAAAACCATGCTTTATTATAAAAGAAAATGTCGAAACGTCAGCAATATCTCGCTGAAAATCTGAACATAGCGGGGAAGACAAAAGAAGAAACGAATTTTTCCCGGGCGATAGAACGATTCAAGATCGGGTTATTCCCTCACCTCACCGTCCTTACGAGCATAGAGAACCCGAGCAGGAGTTAGTGAAGCAGACACATTTATGGCGATCCACGAGTGACCTCAGATCGATTTCGTGGCCGTGAGGACAAAAACCAGAAGCCATGAATGAAGGAATAGCGCTCCTTTCTGATTCCTCCCCGGGGGGGCGCCTCCCATCACGACAGGAACCACCCCGTAACGTTCTGTGGTGGCGGCAATGGCGGCTGCTTATCTTCCGGCGTCTTCGCGAATCGGCCCCTGATCCTCGGCCTCGTGTCGGCGTACGCCTTCCGCGAGGCGTAGCGTATCTGCTTCTCGAACCTCCGCCTCTTCCTCTTCTCCCTGTACCGCATCACCCGCGCCTCCCTCTCCGACGTGCTGCCTTCACACTTGCCGGAGGACGTGGCCTTCTCCGCCACCGCAAAGCTAGAAGTCGGGCTGTTGCCGGCGAAGCTTGCACCGGAGCAGGCCATCTTCACAGAGAAAACAATCCCTCATCGCGTTGTGATTTCACAGAATAAATCTGATTCTTTTATAGGAATCGGAGAAATCAAACTGAGGTTTACAGAATAAATAGTTTTGTGAGCCCAGTCGTTGCCAACAGAGCTCGGTGCGGTCGATGCAACAGGCAGTCAACGTATGTTGAACATTTTCTTATAAAGCGGGATACATGATTCAGCTTATGAAGCCCATAATTTTCTCTAACTAGTGCCGAATTATATGACAACATGATTACTTGTTCGATAATGCCTGTCCATGAAGGTGAGAGTGGCCAGACAAAATAAATTAGCACTGGATGGGAATCAAAATCAGGTTCGACTAAGTGAAATTTCCCTTCAATTATGTGGAACACAGATCAATTCACTCACAGCAGTACCGAGAGACGTTGCAGGACCGGCCATGGGAACATCCGCGGGGAGGGACATCGAAGTAGTCTCCGGCAAGCTTTCCATGCTCCAGGAACCTCCCCGGGCCGGCAGGCGAGGACTACAAGATGAGCTCAGCCAATCTAAGGACTTGACGGCGGGTGCAACCAGCGGCGGCATCCGCTCATGGGCGGATAGCTCGCCGGCCTTGGCACCATTCAGTAGCCAACCGACCCCGCCGTCTTCTGGACCGGCAAACCGGAGGAAACCGTCCGCGCCGCCGTCGTCGGGGAACCCCGCGACGGCGTGGTTGACGTCGGGGTTGAGCTGGGGGTAGAGGAAGCCGCCGCCGTGACACATGCCGCCTCTTTCCAGCCACGACATGGCTATCGCCGTGGCCGCCCCGTCAAAGGTATACAAGAATGAGGGAGAAATACGGCCCCCACTGGTCAGCCGGTGTAGGATAGGCCCCAATTTCTCCGGAACGTTGGCCTATGAGAGAGAGAGAGAGAGAAGGTGAGCGGAGGAGAGGGGGGATCTTGTTGCTGCAGCCAATGGGAGGACCGAGTAGATCATACGAGCGATCGATGTGTTCCAACGTGGAGAATCCTTTGCCACCGTTTTCCCCAGACTTCCCTTTCCGTGGCCGCACGCTACTCTTCAAAGGCGGGGGACCGTAGCGGGGCCGGCTGCTAGCGGCACCGGGCAATAATTAGACGCGTGGGGCCACCGCGCTCTGAAGTGCAGAAATTACCTCCACAGACTCCATTCTCAGAGATGGTCCTCCGAGTCTTAAAGCCTCTCGTCATTTCTCGATCGCAATTTTGATCCGGAACGAGCATCTGAATAGACCCGGGAGAATCATATCTCTCATACTTTCAGACGTAAACCAATTTACGCCGGATCTATATCTCTTCCGTTCCCCCGTGCTCCAGGGTTTTCACTTGGTTTGTTCTTTCTTGACGATCCATGGGCTCTCGCAGATCCCCTCGGCTATTTAATAGCCAGACGCGGGGACCGGCGGCCATTAGAGACGGGCAGGTAACCGCGAGAGACCCACGGACGGGAGGAGAAATGTGATGGCGACGATGATGATGGAGAAGAATATCAGGACGACAATGAAGAAGAATAAGGAGGGGTAGGAGCGACAATAAGAAGACGAAGAAGGGGGACGAGGAAGAGGAGAGTTGAGTGGGAGCGAAAAGCAGGGAGTACCGTGGTGCCAGGGGACCAGTCTCGCTCAGTCGGACTCCGACGATTCCCTCACGGCCCCAGCAATGACTCGTGGCGTCGGAGGAGAGGGAAGGGGAGGAAGAGGAGGAAGAACAGGAATCTGACGATGCTCCACCGGCATTCTCTGCAAAGCAGATGACGACCGTGGGTTAACGCGAATCCATAGCGTAAGGAATACTTCACCTTCAAGCCGTGGACCACTGGGTCCTCCGACAGGGATCTTCGACGAATTGGACCCCGACGCGCGTCCATGGCAGACTAATGATACCCCATGCAGCTGAGGGAGCTCGACGTGAGCTTCCCAGGCCAACAGAGAAGTATAAGCGACGACATCGGCGTCTGAACCGCTCGTTTTTTTGACGAACATCTTCTAACACACTTTGACCATTTCATTCTCTAAAATACCCGCCATCAGATTAAGTCTAGTCACTATTCCCGCCCATCTCCAAGGGTTGACCCCTTGAAGGGTTTGATAGCGCCGACAAAGGCTATTCTCCCCTCTTTCATCACGTGTTCAACGCGTAAAATCAGCTCATCGTGAACCATGCGACATTGACTCTCATGGAACATTAACTCTCTCTCTCTCTCTGTCTCTCGTTCGATAGAGAGAGGTTTTCTTAAGAGGGATGGCGTGCTGGGTTGGGTTTCATTGGGCGTAGAGAATTAGATAGACAAAATCCGATGTGAGTAGACAAATTATTACCATTACGGGAGAAAACGATGAACTATATTTCTGGGCTGGTTAGTTTTCTCTGAAAATTATTGAAAATAATCATATTTTTTTCGAAAATTTAATTATCTCACTTTAGTTTAGGATAAATATGGGGACTTTTTGCGTTAGTTTCTTCACAATACCCCGCACCTGCAGGTCGAGAGGTCAACACAATGAACATGGAAGAAGCCTTATTGGGCCCAAAAGATTACCCATCTCGACCGGAGGGGAGAGGGTGCATGGGATCGAATACTCCCAAGAGCCAAAGTTCTTATTAACGTGGTTCATCAACAAGTGGTTTCGTGCCGCCATGTGCTGTTTCTACTGCCTCCTTGAGACAGCCGAGTCCTGCAACACCCCCCCTCCTCCCCCCCCGGACGAGGCGGGTGGAGCTGCCCCTTCCCCGGCCACTCGTGCGCGCGACGAGGGAAGGAGGGAGTAAAGAAGCGACGACCGCAGCCGGCAGGCGTGAAGGAGGAACAAAAAGAGGCATAGAAAAGAGCTGCGGCCATCATTCTCCCGTCAGCTTTTCTAGCAAGCAAGACCTAGACAGTCTTGCGGCGACGACGACGAGGGCCATCCCTTCTCGAGAGAGGACGTGACAACGAGCGCCGGACTATTCCCGGCGTCAGCCGCTCCCTCGTAGTTCGTCCCATAAGCAATCTCTCTCTCTCTCTCTCTCTCTACTACGTTTTCTTCATCTTCTTCTTCTTCTTCTTGCTGGTCGGGGAGTTCCAGCTTGGTGAGGTAGAAGCGCCGCTGGGGAAATGGTGGGTTTCCGTCTCCTTCTCCGGTGACTCCGGCAATGGGTCCACGGTGCATGCCCGCCGAAGATAACAAAATGGAAAAGGACCGGAAGGGCACTCCCGAGAGAAGGCCCTGTTCTTTCGCCGTCGGAGGGGGCGATCACCCTCCCCCTTTTGGATTTGATCTTTCCAAGATTCTGGATTCAAACCCAGTATAATATTCCCGTTGTTGATTCAAGGAAAACCTACTGGTAACTCCGGTCATTTTCGCGGCGGCGCATCGGGCCGCCGCCAGGGCCGGCGGGCCCGGCACATGGGCTCCGCCAATGAGGGGGAGCCCCGAGCTGCCGCCGCCCAGTGCACCTTGTGCTTTTCCTCCGGACCCCGCGGCTACCTTCCACGCGGCGCCTGCCTCCTGCAGTACTGGAGTCGAGACAAAGCCGGCGGAGGGGGCGGAGAGGCCTGACGAAGACAAGATGACGATGCCCTCGCCTTCGATTAAAGAGGGTTACCGGAGGAAAAAGAGAGAAGGCGAGAGTGGCGAGATGGAGAAGGAGAGATTGTTCCCACAATCATATCCTGCCCCACCGCACTGTAGGAGGATCCTCTGAAGAGCAACTCCCGCTTTCTCTTTCTCTCTCTCACTCTATCACTGACTCTCTCTCTCTCTCTCGTTCTCTATTTTGCGGCGGCGAAGCCCATCAAAGGGGCGAGAAGCACGCCTGGTGACGAAAAGAAACCCGAACGTCGCCAGAGGTGGCGGAGCCGAAGGGTATCATGGATACCTGGCCAGACTGATCGGAGTGTTCTCGCGTTGTTCCGTGGCATGCGGGGGCGGCTGAGCGGCGGAAACCGCCGCACAGATCGGAAGACAGCTTCATGGCAGTCTAAGAATTACGCAGACCAGAGGACGGTCGTCTCTCTCTCTCTCTCTCTCCACTTCCTTGCTCCGGCGGACGCCTCTTTTTCTTTCTGTTCTCGACCGGTGATGATCGGCGAAAGGAGAGGAGAAAAAACGGGACGAGACGAGGGGAAAAGATGAAGCGGAGGAGAACATGTCTCCGGTCGCTCATCCATGCGGAGTTCACCGGTCGACTGGTTGGGACGATGCTAATAAAGATAGTTTTTTTTCACGTCACAGCTCTCTGTCGCGATCGCCCTCCGTCCTAATGGCACTGTTAAGAGCTCCGGCGTTGCTTTACTGAGATACCCAGACCAGGACGACGAAATCCATCTACTAAGAGAAGGGGACAGAAAAGTTGCAGCAGGGTGGAGAGAGAGAGAGAGAGAGAGAGAGAGAGAGGGAGAGTGACGGAGTGTGGTGGTACTTGGAAGACGGGAGAAAGAGGGATATAGCAGTCGCTCCACTCGCCTCGCTTTCCCCCTCCGCTCCGACCACCCTTACAGTCGAAAGATGAAAAGATGATGATGACGAGGGGCTAAGGATGATGGAGATACCCTCGTCGGCCATCATGAATACTCCCTCTGCGTTCTCCACTCCTCAAAAGAGCCACTCCTCTTCTCCAGCTTATATCCTCCGCCACCGCCCGTCGCCACCGCCACCTCGCCGATCACTAACGATGAAGACAGCATCTCTCGTCCTCCTCCTCCTCCATCTAATCGCCGCCATCGTGGCGGCGCCGTCCTCAGCCCTCCCTCTCCAGCTTCTAGCGCTAATCTCCCTCAAGAGCTCTCTGCAAGACCCGTTCTCCAATCTCCGCGACTGGAATTACAGGCCAGTCGGCTCCAGCAAGCCGGACCCGAGGCCGCCACCGTGGTGCTCCTGGAGCGGGGTCACCTGCGACGCCTCTAGCGGCGACATATCCTCCCTCGACCTCTCTCGCAAGAACCTGGCGGGTTCCATAGGCCCCGAAATCCGGCTGCTGTACCGAAGCCTTACACGCCTGAACATCAGCGGCAACTCCTTTGAAGGACCCTTCCCAGCGGCCATCTTCGACCTCCGGAACCTCGAGAAGCTCGACATCAGCCACAATAACTTCAGCTCCAGCGTCCCCCCGGGAATCTCCAGACTCCGCTGCCTCCTTGTCCTCGACGCCTACAGCAACAGCTTCACCGGGCCAGTGCCCCAAGGCCTGGCGACGCTCCGGCGGCTGGAGTATCTCAACCTCGGCGGCAGCTTCTTCGAGGGAACCGTACCGGCGGGTCTCGCCGGCTTGCAGGGGCTGCGGTATCTACATCTCGCCGGCAATCTGCTCAACGGGACCTTGCCCCGCGAACTGGGGAACCTCTCTCGGCTGGAGCACATGGAGATTGGGTACAACCAGTTCCACGGCGGCGTCCCGCCTGAGTTCGGAAGGTTATCCAGCCTCCACTACCTCGACGTCTCCTCTGCAAAACTTTCCTCTCCGCTGCCGCCGGAGCTGGGGAATCTTACTCGCCTAGAATCTCTGTTCCTCTTCAAGAACAGCATCACGGGCACGATTCCAAGCTCCTTCTCCGAGCTCAGATCACTGAAGGTGCTGGATCTGTCGGAAAACCGGCTCTCGGGGCCCATCCCGTGGGGCATTTCCTCCCTGTCCAACCTCACCCTCCTGAGCCTCATGAGCAACGAGCTCTCCGGCGAGGTGCCTGCCGGAATCGGCGACCTCCCCAACCTGGAGGACCTGCTACTGTGGAACAACTCTCTCACGGGTGGTCTCCCTCAGAAGCTGGGCAGCAACGGGAAGCTGCAGAGGCTGGACGTGTCCTCCAACTCGCTCACCGGCCGGGTTCCTCCTGGTCTCTGCAACGGCAACAGGCTCACCCGACTCATTCTCTTCTCCAACCGGTTCGACTCGGTCCTCCCCGCCGGACTCGCCGGCTGCACCTCGCTGTGGAGGCTCCGGATCGAGGGGAACCGGTTCACCGGCCCGATTCCACCCGGGTTCGGCCTCCTCCCGAACCTCACTTACATGGACCTCAGCGGCAACAACTTCTCCGGTGGGCTCCCGGCGGACCTTGGCAGCGCCGCCAGGCTGGAGCTGCTCAACGTCTCTGGAAATCCGCTCGGCGGCCTCCTTCCCGCGGCCATCTGGCGGGCGCCGAGCTTGCAAGTGTTCTCGGCGAGCCTGTGCAGGCTCACCGGCGAGATCCCGGCCTTTGAATTCGGCTGCAGAAGCCTGTACAAGCTGGAGATGGAAGGGAATAGCCTCACCGGGAGCATCCCGTGGGACGTGGGGAACTGCCAGAGGCTTATCAGCGTGAAGCTCTGCAAGAATCAGCTCTCAGGGATCATTCCGTGGGAGCTGGCGGCGCTTCCCTCGATCACCGACGTCGACCTGGCCGAGAACTCTCTCGGCGGCTCCATACCTTCCAGTTTTGGCAATTGCACCACCCTCGAGAACTTCAACGTCTCCTTCAATCGTCTCACCGGGGTCATCCCCTCCTCCATCGTCTTCAACAACCTCCAGTTGTCCTCCTTCTACGGCAACGCCGGGCTCTGTGGCGGCCTCATCCGCAGACCCTGCTCGCCCAAATCTGAAGAAGAAGATGACGGGTCCAGAGGGAATCCGGCTTCTCCAGAGAAGAGGCCCTCTGGGGCGGCGATCGTGTGGATAAGTGCGGCGGCGTTCGGCGTCGGCCTGCTGGTCCTGCTCGCCGGCACCCGCTGCTTCCACGGGCGGTTAGGAGGGGAGGACTCCTCTGTCGGAGACGACGGGCCGGGGCCATGGAAGCTGACGACATTTCAGAGACTGAATTTCAAGGCCGAGGACGTGGCGGAGTGCATATCCACGGGGGGAAACATTATCGGTATGGGGTCGACGGGGACGGTGTACAAAGCGAAGATGCCCTCCGGCGAGGTCGTCGCCGTCAAGAAGCTGTGGGGGAAGCAGAAAGAGGCGAATCTGATGATGCCCTCCATCGTTCGCCGGAGGGGAGGGGTGTTAGCAGAGGTGGAGGTCCTCGGCTCCGTCCGGCACCGGAACATCGTCCGCCTGCTCGGCTGCTGCAGCAACCGCGAGACCACTCTGCTGCTCTACGAGTACATGCCCAACGGCAGCCTCGAGGACGTGCTTCACCGGAGGAAGAACGGCAGCGGCGGCGGCGGAAAGGGAGAGCAGGATCTCCCCGCGGCGGCGGCGGCCGACTGGGCGACGCGGTACAAGATCGCCATGGGAGTGGGGCAAGGAATCTGCTACCTCCACCACGACTGCGACCCGGTGATCGTTCACCGCGACCTCAAGCCTAGCAACATCCTCCTCGACGCCGAGATGGAGGCGAGGGTGGCGGACTTCGGCGTCGCCAAGCTCATCCACTCTGGTCAAGAATCCATGTCCGTCATTGCCGGCTCCTACGGCTACATCGCCCCCGGTGAGTCAACTCAACCCTCCTCCCCTGCTCATCGTCCCTTGCTGGTCACCCCTAACAATCGGGGCCATCGTATTCTCTGCCACAGAGTACGCCTACACGCTGCAGGTGGACGAGAAGAGCGACATCTACAGCTACGGCGTGCTGTTGCTGGAGCTGCTGACCGGCAGGAGATCGGTCGACCCGGAGTTCGGCGAGGGGAACAGCATCGTCGACTGGGTCACCACGAAGGTGGCGGCGGCGGCCTCGAGCAAGGAGCGGCGGTGGGCGGCGTGGGAGGTCCTGGACATGGCCGCCGGCGCCGGGAACCCCACGGTTAGGGAAGAGATGATGCTAGTCCTGAGGGTGGCGCTGCTCTGCACCAGTCGGGACCCCGGAGACCGGCCCTCGATGAGGGACGTCGTCTCCATGCTCCGAGCGGCCAAGCCGGAAAGGAAGCTGGTGGTGCACGACGGGGTGGACTCCTAGACATGGACGCTCACATTCTCAACGCATTTCTTTTACTAAAAATAGTAAAACAATGTTGACCGGGGATGGGGTAGGGGGGATTCTGTCGCATCTCCTATATTCCTTTTGTTAATGCGCCGTCAGAGTGATCTTCTTCTCTCCGACCTCCATCCACCCTTGGGCATTACCCGTCCAACGTACTTTTGTACGGGCCAATAGGAGTAGACCGGTAACGGTTATGGGCCCCACTGCACCGTTTGAAAGATCCGATTCCCAGCGGGCCCACTCATCAAGTCATGATTACCACACCGACAGCAGCAGCCTTTTGTCGCGACGTTGGCGTTTTTTCCCACTCTGGGCAACTTTTACACTCCCACGCGCAGTTACTATTCACAGGAGTATTAATGGACCAGCCCATTAGTTTCATTTATGGGCTCCAACTGGGCCCAATTGGGACGTGACAGTATCCGAGTTGTATCCGTGAGCCCGTCCGTTTTGGGCTCACAGCGGATCACACCGTCGATCCAGCGAGGGGGAAGGGGTGGCAGTTGGTCTGCTCCAAGACCCGGCGAAGGACGACGACGACGACGACATCTCAGCATCCCACATTCGCTGGTTCCCACTGGTCCTGATCCATTCTCCTGCTGTTTCTCTCTCCCCTCTCCTCTCCCTTCCGCTGCGGAATCGCCGGCAGCGGCCTTCCCCGCCGGCGGCGGGTGTGAGGGAGGAGGGACAGTCGAAGATTACAATGTTATTTCTCAGAAGAGCAATCTCTTCGTCAAATTACTCCTACTCGGCTTCTTGTGCCGTACGAGCCTCGCCGGTCGTCGTGCCCTCGCGGTGCTCCTCGTCCGGTTTGTCGTCCTCTTCTCCGGGCGTTGTCGACGGGAAGTTGGGGATTCATGTCTTCCGCTGCCCGGTACGTGCTTGCTCGCCGGCTTTCGGAAGGCATCCGACGATATGTGCATTCTTCGACCTAAATGACGAGGAATCCCCATCCTTTTCATGTCTCGTCCTCCTCGCATCAGAACATGATCGATCGAATGTATTTTTTCCCGTCGCGTGCGGCACTGCTGTAGGACGCCGTGGGAATTGTGGCGAAGATTACAGAGTGCATCGCGTCGCGTGGGGGAAACCTTCATGGTGTCGACGTGTTTGTTCCCGAGGATAAGCCAATCTTCTACGCCCGTAGGTTTGTCCTTGCATTTGTGTTTTCATTGAAAGTATCAATTTTCTCCCAGGTATCACTATTTGTATAAATATCATCGCCAAATTGAATTATTCATTGAGTGAGTTCTTACATGTAGTCTACGTGATCTACCCGTCTAACTGGGATTTTCGACTGGAGAAATAATTTTGGAAGTTGATGTCAGTGGAGAGGGAAAAACTCATTTAGTTTCTCATGAGAACCTTTTCAATTAAGCCCTATTTTAATTGTTGAGACTTCGTACCTTTGATACTCTTTCCTTGACCATACATATGCAATCTTCGAAATATTTTCAGTACATCTGCCTTCTTCCTCTACTTTAGTCTTTAATCAATTTGTACCTTAAACTGTCTTTTTTCCTTTTAGATTATGATATTTTAAGATCTCATATTATTTTTTTTCTGCTGCTATTATTATAATGTATCAACCATTGAAAATATTTCCACGAACGGAATAAAACACTAACAGATGTGTTGGTCTCGTGTATGTTTTGAACATTTGGAAGTTTGCATTATTTTCATCTTCTTCATGCCCATATCTCTGTAGCTTCTGAGATATGAAATTGATCATCTGCAGTGAATTTGTATTTGATCCCGCAAGCTGGCCCCGGAAGGTCATGGATATTGACTTCTTGCATATAAAGAAACTGTTCAATGCAGATCAATCTCTAGTTCGTGTCCCTGGTATGGATCCAAAGTTCAAGATCGCCATTCTTGCTTCAAAGCAGGTGTAGCCTTTTCTTAAAGCTATGATACTGGTTGAGCGTGGCCATTTTCATTCATCTTAATGAACAGTAAAAACGTAGGAGATTTTTTTTTTTGTGTTTATCTTGTAGAAGTAATTTTCTACACTGACCTACAGGATCACTGTTTGATCGATGTGTTGCACGGATGGCAGGATGGGAGGCTTCCAGTTCATATTAACTGTGTAATCAGGTGATTCAGAGAGGTTATTGTTCTGTATAACGTTTTGATCCGTTCTAACAGCAGCAATCTTCTTGCTTTCTGGATCATTGCAGTAATCATAAGAGAGCCCCAAATACCCACGTCATCCGTTTTCTCGAAAGAAACGGGGTTCCATATCACTACCTGCCGACGACTCCGGTGAACAAAAGAGAAGATGAGATCTTGGACTTGATTGGAGACAGCGATTTTCTAGTTCTTGCTAGATATATGCAGGTACATGTGTACCTTGTCATCAGGTCTCATGGTGCTCCTGTTGAATATTTCCATATGTTTTTTCATATTTCCGCGTCCACCTTTAAAAGCTTGTGGTTATTATTCGAAGAGCCTTTGAAGGAAAGGTACATTTTCCGTTGTGTTTTTAACAGCCTGCATCAATGAAGAGAGGCTCACTCATTAATCTTCATCCTCTTGATGCTTCATGACGATCATCCTATCAGAAGAGGCTGTTAATGCGTGGTGCTCGTCGATGATTTTGCAGATCCTGTCTGGAAGATTTCTGAGGTGTTATGGTAAAGATATAATAAACATTCATCATGGCCTTCTCCCATCCTTCAAGGGTGGGAATCCATCCAGACAGGTCCTCCAGTCATGGCTGATTCCTGTATCACTCTCCATGTTCCCTCTGTTTTATCATCACCTGCCTCGCTCCTGCTGTTCCTCCAGGCTTATGACGCAGGGGTCAAGCTGATCGGCGCCACAAGTCACTTTGTCACTGAAGAACTCGACGAAGGTCCAATAATCGAGCAGATGGTGATCTCTCTCTCTCTCTCTCTCTCTCTCTCTCTCTCTCTCTCTCTCTCACCCGATATCAATGATCTCATTTATCATGGTAGTTTTAAAGGTGGCTGCTTGATCATCCGCATTTAGTCATCCTGCAAGCTGGTGATGGCTTTTGATTTTCGATTCATAAAGATTTAACCGGGGCATTTCGATTTAGGTAGAAACCCATGTCCTATAAATGGTCTGTTCTCTGATTTGCATCCAATGCGATCTTCACTTTAGAAAGGTGACAGGCTTTAGAGCTCTCCGGTCAGAGAGGGCACGGAGGAGATGAGTGACACAGATTTTGGTCACTCTGGAACAGGTGGAGCGGGTTTCACACAGAGACAATCTGCGGAGCTTCGTGCAGAAGTCGGAGAACCTGGAGAAACAATGCCTGGCCAAAGCGATCAGGTCCTACTGCGAGCTCCGGGTGCTTCCGTACGAGGTGAAGAAGACCGTCGTGTTCTGACGTCTTCGTCCTGGACAGATCCAAGATTCTCGTCCCCTCGAGCTTCTCCATTTATCATCGGTGTCCCTGTGTTTGATCCTCGAAGAAATACATTCAGTTTTCCGCAGATGCCGGCGGAATTCTCAATTCTTTGTCATATGGGGCTTCAAAGATCTGGCGAAGTTTCTTTGCAGAGATCGCGCTTCTTCCGCCGGAGTCACAAGATCTAGGCGATCCTCAGCAATTCCACCGAATTCTCTATTCCGCCGCTGCCACCGGCGAGGGAGAGTAGGCCCTCCACCCCGTCGATCCACCGCTGCTTGCAGATCTTGGTCTCGCACTCGAACTCCAGCAGTCCCCGCGCTGTTCTCAGCCCGAAGTAGCTTCTTCCGTCGGGGCCTTCCTCCCGCCGGCCGGGCCACGCAGGGCAGTCCCCGCAGACGCCGTAAACAACGCCTGAATGGAATAGATCAAAGGTAAATCGGCCTGATTCTAGAGTCGAGGAGAGAAAACTGTAGCTCGCAGCAGGAGTTAGAGCTAACATTTTTTCTTCTTCGAGAACGCTCCTCCCGCGTGCTTGCTCTTGAGCTGGACGATGACCTGCAACCGATCGACCGTTGGAAATGGCGCCACTAAGATCCAGAGATTTCTGACGAACAAGTTCAGGTCCCCTACCTGTGATTTCGTGTTGACGTACACGGAGACTCGCTTCCGATGGATCGAACCTGAAAGCCAGAAGAAAGGAAGCTCTGTCTGAGGAAATCCGACGTAGGATCCTTGCGACGGCAACCCGGCACCGGAGATTCAGCTGTGGTACCTTTCTGTGTGCGCTTGAAGAGGTCCCCATCGCAGGAGGAGGCATCCGGACAGATTCGCCCGCCTTTCTCGCATGGAGCCACAGTGGAGTCGTTCCGGCAATCCCTCTCCAGCCTCAGTTTCGTCGCCGCTGCTCCCCGCAGAGCTATCAAAGAAGGAAACGGACAGAATCTTCAGATGAAGGGGAGGGAGGAGGTGGCGGCGAACAGGTTCGCCGGAAAGAGGAGGTTCCCGAACAAGTGTACCTGTCGCCGCCGCCGCCGTGAGAGTCATTAGGTCACCGGCGCTCCTAACATTTACCGCAGACTGGACCGCAGAGGCCACCCGCTCGTGATCAGCCCCGGCCTGCTCCGCCATCTCTATACAATGCGACGCCAGGAGCTCTGTTGCAGAGGCCATGGCGATGCTCATCTTCGGATCATTCGAGTAAGGTCTTGCTGCAACGGCGGCAACAGCCGCCGCCAGTCCGGCCACTGATACTTCGGCGTGTATCCGGGCTTTATCCGCCCGGAGCCTCTCTTTGTTCATCTTGCTGCGGCCGGACTCCTTGCTCTGAAACCAACTCCCTATCGATCGGCGGCGGGCTATCGTGGAATTCTCCTCAGCGAATCTCTGCAACCATGGCGGAGAAACCCGAGCTTCAGTCGAGCAGTGAAACGAAAATTGGAGAGAGAAGCACGTCAACCTCTGAAGAAATTCTGATCTGAGAGTAACTTCAAACTCACCGGGCGGTGCTGCGGGGGAACCGGGGCAAAGATCTCAGGAATCATCATGTCCGGTAGCCGGTCGACGACGAAGTTCCTCTTCCTACCACCGGCGAGCAGGGCTCTGGAGATCTCCGCGGCTGAGAGGCTCCACGACCTGGACAGGAACTCCATGGGCTCCTTCGGCGTTTGCGGCGGCGGGATCGCCGGAAATCCTACGACCCCTTGCCCCGCACACAGCCATTCCTCTTCCTCCCCGTCCTCCAACCCCATCGAATCTTTCTTCCTGGTTCCTGCACTACCCCAGAAGTTCCCTCCCTCCATTCTCTCCGTCCCCGTCTCTACCTCCCTCCGCCACGGCCGAGATAAATAGGAGATGGAAGAAGCAGGGAAATGAGAATTCACAGAACACGAGCTCGCTCGTTCCTCGTGGGGGAGACAGCAGCGGGCCCCTCCTGCTTCCTTTCATTCGAGTTCATTCCGAGCTTTCCGTATTTAACGTTGCCTGTCCCCCTCAAACACCTAGATCTGCCATGAGAGCTCGGCCACGCCAACAGTGATCGGTGCAACTGGGGGGGAACATTCCGCCTGTAACCCGGCGCCGTTCCCGGTGCGCCTGCGAGCTGCGAGATCTGCTTCCCCGCAAGAGGCCGAGTAGGCGGAATAAGAGGAGAAAGAAAAGGGTGCCCTATGGGAATCGTGTTCCGCCACGGATTGTAGCAACGAAGAGTCGGCTTTAAGCCACTGGTCGGCCCTCGGCACGAAGCCTGCGGGGGCTGGCGGCACTGCGGGCATCCGGCGTGCGCCTACCCCCGCGGCACCACCGGAGACAGAAAGTTTCAAACTTTCGAAAAAGAAGGTCCTCTCCGATTGCCCTCATACCACAAATTTCCTTTCAGAAGATCGAACCAGGGTAGACCATGGGTTGCTTGCGAGGGATGGTTTTGTATCTTCCCGACCCGTGAAGGGAAATCTTGGAGAGGAGACATAAAGGGAAATCTTGCGCCGGCGGCGCCCCTGCCCGCTCCCTTCTCGTCGGCGACCACCGCTGTCGCTAACGCCTCAGAATCTGCGAGCCCTCATCAGCTCGAGCCCGCAATTGGGCACAGGCAAGTCTACAGTACTCCTTTCATCGCTTCCCCGCCCTGCTCCCCGCCGGCATGCGGCAAGGCGGAGTGTGGGCGGCAGAATGTGATGAGGGCGACATACTCCTAAATGTGTCCTTCTCCTATTCCCTTCCGGACTAACGAGAGAGAGAGAGAGAGAGAGAGAGAGAGAGAGAGAGCAATTTTTAGGGATGAATGCGCCCTTCGGAGACTCACAAAACAGCTGCGAAGGGATGCTTCGAAAGGACGCATTTAGGAGCAGATATTTTAGTTACTGGACGGTTTATGGACACCGGACGCTATTTATCGCATACTTTGTCGATGCAAAGACAGAATGTCCGCCGAAGATCATCATATCCCTGCATGAGAGCAACTTGGGAGGAAAACATGTCACCCACGCCCCGGAGCCAGTTCCAGCAGTTGGTCACCCCCTCGGCCCTCCGCTCGTACCTCGCCGAGTTCATCTCCACCTTCCTCTTCGTCTTCGTCGCCGTCGGCTCCGGCATGTCTGCAAGTATGAGTGAGATTACCTTATTCGCTCCGTTTAGAAATATGTTCACCTCTACGGTGACGTTGACTAGATTTCTTGCATGGGATAGGAAAGGCGACCCCGGATGGCGCTGCCTGGGACGCCTCCTCACTGGTTGCGACCTCGCTCGCACAAGCTCTGTCCCTGTTCGCCGCCGTCTACATAGCGGCTAACTCATCCGGCGGTCACGTCAACCCTGCAGTCACCTTCGGGCTGGCCGTCGCCGGCCACATCGCCGTCCCCACTGCCATCTTCTACTGGGCCTCGCAGATGGTCGGATCCACTCTAGCCTGCCTCCTCCTCCACGTCGCCACCGCTGGCCAGGTACAGTGCCGTTTAGATGAATAAACGAACACGGTAGACGATCTTTGCGTTTTCTCTGAGATGCATCTTCCTCTACAGGCCATTCCGACGACGGGGATAGCCCCGGAGATGACCGGTTTCGGAGGGGCCGTCCTCGAGGGCGTAATCACTTTCGCGCTGGTGTTCACGGTTTACGTCGCCGGCGACCCCAGGAACCGGGCGGCGCCGCTTGGGGTCTTGGGGCCGCTAGCGGTCGGGCTGATGGCAGGGTCCTGCGTCCTGGCCGCCGGGTCGTTCACCGGCGGCTCCATGAACCCCGCTCGATCCTTCGGACCGGCCGTCGTCTCCGGCAACTTCAAGAACCAGGGTGTCTACTGGGTCGGCCCTCTCGTCGGAGCCGCCCTCGCCGCCCTGGTACATCAGCATCTGGTTTTCCCCACGGCCCCCGACCGCGAGTCCCCTCACGGCCCCGTGGAGTCAGTCTCTCTGTAGGCAGTATCCCTGTAGAAAAACTCCCTCGTTATACTGTAATCCCTCTGTCACACTCTGATTCAATGAAATAGTAATCAACACTTATGTCAACATGATCCGATGAGATGAATATTCAATGGGGAAGTTGCAGAGGGGCAGTTGCCCAACGGTCGGAAACAGTTTCACTTGGTGTCTATAGATAGTTACTATGATTCGGTTGCACTCTAACCTCCTTCCCAAGAAGCCTCAGTCTGTTCAGCCAGGAGGAAGAAGATGCATGGAGTACTGAGATTCGGACTGAGGACTTTAGAACTCTTCGACCAGATCTTGAACCCCTCTGCTCTCCGATCCTACGCCGCCGAGTTCATATCTACGTTCCTCTTCGTCTTCATCGCCGTGTGTTCCGCCATCTCCGCGGGAAAGAGCACTCCCGATGCCGGAAGCGACGAGACTGTGCAGCTGGCGGTGGCGTTGGCCCACGCATTCGGGCTGTTCTTGGCGATCTACACGGCGGCGAACGTCTCCGGCGGCCACCTGAACCCGGCCGTCACGCTCGGGCTCGTCGTCGGGGGCCACGTTCGGGTCGCCACCGGGGTCTTCTACTGTGTCGCCCAACTTCTCGGGGCCACCGCAGCCTGCTTGCTCTTGACGCTAGTCACCGCCGGAGAGGTAAACCTGCTCGGCACTGCCCGCGCGCCGCCTCTAGAATGGGGATGAGAACACTCTCGTCTATGTCGTGCAGGCCATGCCGGTTCACGGGCTGGCGCCTAACGTCGGCGTGCTGGGGGGGACGGCGATGGAATTGGTGGCGACGTTCGCGCTTGTCTACACCATGTGCGCCGCGAGGGACTCCAGAATGGGAGCTCTGCGAGCGTCAGGGCCCGCCGTCGTGGGCTTCTCCGCCGGCGCGGGGATACTGGCCATCAGCCCGCTGACCGGCGGCTCGATGAACCCGGCGCGTTCTTTCGGTCCCGCGTTGATCTCTGGGGACTTCAAGAACCACGTTGTATACTGGGTCGGGCCCCTTCTCGGCGGAGTGCTGGCAGTACTTGCGTACGATAACCTCGCTGTTGCACCGGCGGCTGCCGCCACCGCCGCCGCTCCGACTGTCGTCTCCGACGCGGTTTGATTTGCAAATCGAAGGGTTTATTCAGGGTCAAACATCCTCGTAATTTATCTAGGATTTTCGAAAACTAACACATCGAGCGAATAGAAGTATATATATAATCCCAGAATCTTTGGTACACTTCCTTATTCACAGAAGAAAGAATGACACAGTCAAGCATAGTCGTTGGAGGCGGGGATCGGCTCGTAAGATCCGATGAAGACGCTGCTGTAGACCAGCCCCGCGAACGCGCCGCCGATGAGCGGGCCAACCCAGTAGACCCAGTTGCCGGTGAAGTTCCCGCCGGCGACGGCGGGTCCGAAGGAGCGGGCAGGGTTCATCGACCCGCCGCTGAATGGCCCAGCGGCGAGGATGTTGGCGCCGACGATGAACCCAATCGCAATGGGCGCGACAGTGCCGACAGGGCCCTTCCTGGGGTCAGCGGCGGTGGCGTAGACCGTGTACACGAGCGCGAATGTGATGACGATCTCCATGAACGCGCCTTCGACCTCGCTCAAACCGGCGGCCACGCCGTGCGTGGGAATCGCCTGCCGTGGAAGATGACGACGCGGTGGTCAGAAACTCGGGAGGACGTTTGTTTTCCTCTCTGCGAACTGATTGGAGGAAGATTACCAGTCCGCCGGTGACAAACTTAAGCAGAAAGCAGGCGGCGATGGAGCCGAGCAGCTGCGCGACCCAGTAGAAGATACCGGTGAGGATCGTGATGTAGCCACCAACGGCCAGGCCTAGGGTGACGGCTGGGTTGAGGTGGCCCCCCGAGACGTTGGCAGCCATGGAGACGCCGACGAACAGCGCCAGCGAGTGGGCTAAGGCGACGGCCACCAGGCCGGCCGGGTCCAACGCCGCGCCATTGGTTAGCTTCCCTGTTCAGATCAACCGGACCGCATTAGTCGCCACGCCATTGGCGGACCTGAATGAACCACGCAGCCACGCCGGCGAGAGCGGCGGAGCCGACGTATCTCACCGTAGGCGACGGCGGAGCCGACGCCGGCGAACACGAAGAGCAGCGTTGCGATGAACTCCGCAATGTAAGCCTTGACGGACCCTAGGGTGAAGGAGTCCCTGAATCTTCCAAACACGAGCTTCACCATTTTTCCTTCGTCCCCGCTTCCCCTCTGAGACGGTCCCCTCGTCTTGCGCTCCTCCCTCGGCTCTGGCCACGGCAGAGACGGAGAGTCTCTCGCTCTTATGGTGAAACCCGACCCGAGACGGCGCCACCAGAGGACGCCACAAATGAGCCCCATGACAGCGCGACCTTGTTCATCAGAATCCTCTGGGCAGATGCCCGCCAAACTGACCATGTTTTAGATTAATTCAGCGTGATGGGCGTGGTGACAACGACTCAGAAGGCCCTCGCGCCGATTTATGGCCTGTGGCATGAACAGTGATGGATAGAACCAGACTGAACCGCTGTCTAGAGAGAGAAGCGACTCGATTGCTTATTTTCCGTTCTTGTTAGTGTGAGAGAAAGCCCACCTGTAACTCGATATTTAATGTTAGTCTTAAGTCATTTAATCATGATAAGATGCAGTTATTCGCGCCATTTGGCCCTTTTACTCCACCCACGTTAATTAATATTAGCATATATATATCCATAAAGAGAGAGTGAGAGAGAGAGAGAGATGATATTAATTGCGGATGATTTTGGATCACTTATTTATATTGATCATAATATTTTTATTTTAAAACCTGAAAAATAATTTGCACGTTAAATGTGATACAAAGAGTCTGGTACCAACTCAAGGCCAGCTTGCGGGAAATTGGATGGGTCAAACATCGTTGACTTTCTGGGCCGGTCGGGAAATGTGGCCCATTGATAATATTCAATAAATAACTACTCTTGGGCCATTTATGACGTCCACACCCGGCCCATACATCCAAAACCCCGCGGACAAAGGGGCGCTATGCTGAAGACGATCCCCGGCCCGCCGCCGCATCGTACAGATCGCAAATGGAATCCAATGAACATGAGGCGACGAAGGAAGATGGACGAATCGTATTTTGCTCAAAGAGGAGATTGGGTTTGGGTTTTACACTGGTCTTATTGCAATTAACTCCCTTTTTTTATGAAAATCATATATATGTCTAACCATGATGAAAAGTAAAACATCACAAAATTTAGTGAACCATTTTGGCATACAAAATTTTACTTAATACTTAGAAGTATGTGGCTGCTTTGTTTTAATACACACACCGTCTATCTAGTTTCTTCATGGAATAAAGAACAGATGGGTGGTGCTAGCTTAAACAGCATTCCTCCAAGTGATTTATTCAAATATCTTGTATTAAATCCAAACAATGGATTACGTTCAGGTTCTATGCTAGTGTTGTTGAAACTAACTCCATTTATTATGAATATCAAATTTTTAAGTAATCTTATTGAAAATTAAAACATGGTAAAAATTTAGGAAATAACAAGAACCAAACTACCTACCAATGTGCTTGCCTGCTCAGGAGCCATATTTCACAGTCAACGTTTGTTCTTAAGGAAATAAAAAAAATCAATGTGTACGTCTCCAGTGGCTTATTTACTTTCTTCATAGGATTAAAAATTGAGACATATTTCAATGACGAAGGTAGACTATGTTCAAACAGGAGAATGGGTTCGATTTTATAGCTGTTAAGTTGTAATTAACTCCCTTTATTATGGAAATCAGATATGTGACTGAACACAACAAAAAATCAAAGCATTAATATATATATATATATTTATTTATTTATTTATTTTTCACCCCTAGAACTTTGCTCAAGAAAATATTTTCATAATTGAAAGCCTCAAAGTGGCGTTTCTTCAAGACACACCTTCTATCTACTTTATTTATAGGATAAATAAGAAGAACAATGGAAAATAATCAGATCATCAATAGGCCTACCTACTCATGACCCATTGACCCATGTCAGGCAAACTTTCATTGTCAATAATTTAACTCTAAGAAAACTTTTTTTTTTTTTTGCAAGCCTCATTTAGTTTCCTCGAGTCGATATTTATCTACTTTCTTCGTAGGGAATATGAAAAATTGAGACATGAACAAGATGACAAAAGCAAACGATGGATATTGATCCCTTCAATGGCACCAATCCAAGCGGTTTCTTCTAAACATTTGTATGAGGTTCTAAGAGAGGATTGGGTTCAAGTTCTATAGTGACCCCATTGCAATTAACCCCTTTTATTATAAAATTCAGATGTGTCTAAATACGATAAAAAAAATAAAAATATATATATAAAAAGAGAAAATCATTTCTACCTCATAAAAATTGTCAAAAAATATCATTTAATTGTTCGAAGTAATGTTGTTTCAAGTCACACCTTCTATCTGCTTTCTTCATAATGAAAATAACAAGAATAAAGGTAAAGAACTGTAACACCAATGGGCGTGTCTATTCGTGGCCCATCAACCCATCTTTAGCAAAACTTCACAGTTGGCAAATTGTCTTAAGAAAAAAAATAAAATCAATGTACAAACCTTAAGTGATTTCCTCAAGATACTGTCTATGTTCTTCTTTCAAAAGGAGCAAGAAAAACTGAGACCCTGATCTAGACGACAAAAGCAAACAATGGGCGGCTTCGACTGCACCACTCTAAGTGGTTTCTTCAAAACATCTGTATTAAGCTCGAAGACTTGGATTGAGTTCAGATTTTATACTAATCCGTAACAATTAACTATCTTAATTATGAAAAATATGATAACTATTAATCCGTAACATTTGAACGTTTAGGAAATCATTTCCTAAGAATTTTGCTGCAAGAATTTAGGAAAACATCACAAAATTTAGGAAATAATTTCCGCCCCAAGAATTTTCCTCAAAAGGTGGAGCCTGTCGCCTCCACCTTGTTGGTTCAATTGTTAGGTGGGGGTCTTCCCGTGGGTACATGGCAGGATGCTCCCAGAAGAGGTTCAGTGCCGCCCTGGTCTGGGGTTGTTCGATGCAATGCCCGGCAGATGGACCAATCTCCTTCTATTGGCGTTTCTGAGCACTCATTAGAGCGAGATTCGAGGATAGAAAATCGAGTATTTAGAGTGTCTGCGGCGGGCATTGAAGCATCTCTTTCATTTCTTCAACACCATCGAGTGTTCGGCATTCAATTATCGTGCAGTTTGAGTTGTCCTCCTCCAGGGAGTGTGGTCACCGACGCTGCGATGCATACTTCAGTCCTTCCTGCGTTGGCAGCTACTGGTATCAAAGTTGGAAAACAATGTAAATAAATGACCCTCACGACATCTGGCGCGTAGATGACAACGAATGAATCAGGATAGAAGTGGTGTTTACGGGCGCTTTTCGTTTTACTTGGTATCTGCGTGTACTGTAATTAGCATCTATTGCCCGTTCGGAGGAGCTGATGAGAGCATCCGGGGGACGGAATGGGAAAAAAATGGGCTATCGGAAGATGCACCTGGCAGCTCTTTTGACGAGAAGTTGGACAAGCAGTATGCAGCTTCTACTTCCCGCTCGTCTAACCTCAAGCGCAACAGAAGGTAATTATCGTCTTGACATAATCTTCTCTCATTCTTATCGCAACTATCATCTTGATGCTTGTATCACGAGACATTATAACCCAGCTCATCGACAATACTGTTCATAGTACCGGCGAAACCACAGTCCCCTCACCATGCAAAGGATCTGTCGACTATGTTTCTCTCAGTGAACAAAAGCTCGTGTATCAGTTAAGATTAATACCTTGAACTCCCCACCATCCTTCCTGAATAGTATCAAATCATTTCTAAAAATCGTGAACCTTTTCGGCTGAGATATTATTCTAGTACCAGTAAAGCAAAATCTTCCTTACGGAAGTACCAAAGTTTTCTTAATTTTTTAAAAAGATTCTGTATGCCTTTCGTTTCATTATAGCAAGGTTGGCAGGAATATTTCTCTAGCATGCCCTTTTAACTGCATGAATTTATTGACTGATCATGATACAATTTGATATAGTAATAAAAAGGTTCCCTGAAGAGGTAATGATAAGGTATGATTTATTTGATACAAATTTATACGATGCATTTTCCTACTAATCTGGTATTCACTCGAGTCCTTGCTACTCATCAACGTCATACTCAGCACCTTATAATCTCCTCATTTCTAATACGTTTACGCATTGTAACCAATTGGATTTTATTTCTTCAGATTCAGTCATTTCCTATTTTTTCGGATAAAAGAAGTTTGCAGCCTGTGGACAGGCTGCTTTATGTGAGACTGCTCCATCTAGCTTTCGCCCACTGCATATAACTCCATACGGTGACCGTCTAATGGCTATGATTACTATCTAATGGGTACAATTAGCATCCCGTGGTTATTTTTCATAAGTAAAGGAGAAAATAAGGACTAAATTCTAATTTTTAAGACCAATGGAGGACTATATTTACAAAGAGAATTCGGAAATTAGTATTGATACAAAGAGAAGAATTGATGAAGTTAGACGCTCCTCTATTGGTGAATAATAGTGCTGAAACTTGGTTGACTTTCAGTCGAATGCAGCACAAGTTGCTGAGGTTAAGAGAAATGTGTCTCGTGAAAGCAGATATCTCTAAAGGAGGCATATTGGCCGAATGGTGGAGGAGGTTAGGTGAAGAGGAAACTCTATGGGATAATATGATGAGGAGGAATGTACCACTTTGACCGTAATGATCAATGCGGACTGTCTGGTCGGCAACAAACGCTTAAACCCTGAGGAGGTAAAATGACCAAACCAATATATGAGCTGACTTATGGTAAATTTAGTCGATCATTAGAATATCACTGGTTCAATTTACTTGTTCCAAACAACCCAAAATTTTTATATGCTTTAAGGATTGACAGAAGAATGATTATATGTGAAGTTAGCTCTTAGTTTGCTTACAAGAGATGGTCTACAAGATTTGAATGAGACTACAGATGATGAAACATAATACCTTGATACAATGTAGGCGGAATATTGATGAACATAATGCAGATTATTCACTCAGACCGTGTAACCATCAGTGTCATCTGGAATTTGCATCAAAAGGTAATCAAATTTTGCAGAGATTTCAAAACGTGTATAACCAAGCTGACGCGTGGATCAATAAAAAATGTTTCTCCTTTGCTGCAACAAATAATGAGACTACCATCTAGGTGT